CCTACAAGCAAAAAACCCTGAAACCCACAACAAAATCAAAACCCCCAAAACAGGACAGACCAGCAGTACCCCCCTGTCCCTCTCTGTCCCAACTTTGGTGTCTGCAGCACCAAAGAACTGTAAAAGCCTTCTAGTTTCTCATGTTTCAAATCCTCTTTCAGCAAGAGGAACAAGTTTTATTTTCTGCTGCCTGGATTTGCCTGCAGCCTGTCCCAGTGTTTACGTTAGTGGATTAGAAGCGATGAAAAAGCTCTGGTGACACATTTTTATTAAATGGCTGCTTGCTTCCCTGAGTGGAGGGTCTGGAGGAACCATGTGCTTTAGCAAAATGCATTTGTTCTGAGCATATTCCTTTAAGGCTTATACTTGTAACAGAAGAATTACACTGCATTCAACTATCAGAAACCAGGAGCACCACCTCTGTATACGTTTTTAGGCAGGCACAGTTGTGTTTTCTGAATTTGTCTTTTAGAGCTCTGAATACAGTCACTAGACACTCTCTAAACAGGCTCACAGATTTGTATTTTTTAAAAATAAACATGTGCTTATAACTTTATCTGAGGCAATAAGTCCCTAACAGTGCAAGGAGACATAAAACTTTAGGCTCTCACCACTCCATTTAATAGTTAAAAAAAACGTTTAAACTATATTTAAATCACTGTGTGTTAAAGACTATATGCTTTCAGATAAAGATAGATTAAATATTTATGTAGGAGGAGACTTGAAGGTAAAATAGCAGTCGGTCTCAAAATGAGAAAATAATAACCTAAGCACAAAAGGTACCACCAAAAAGTGCACACTGGACATGTCACTTCTCCAGATAAACCTTGAAACAGGCTCATCTTAGGTCTCCAACACATGGTCTGACACACTCCCAACACAGCACCACACAGACCCAAGAGACAGAGGCAATAGTTCCACCTCATTTAAACTGTTAACTATTAACTGTGGAATGCAAATCCTGACATCTCGATGACTGCAAGTGTGACAGGGCGTTTAAAAACGCGTCACAGTCCTCAACACTTCCTTTAAATCCTTCATGAATTACTTATCCCTTCTAACCGAACAGGCACACATTCCAGAGTCCAAAACCAACACTGCACTGGGGATTTCTCGACACACTCTTATTTCAAGGAGGAGATAACACGAGGCTGCTGGGACACCGGGTGGCCAACTTACAGGATGGATTGCAGGGCTTTTTTCCAGATACACTCTGTAAAAGGAGGCACTGAGCAGTTCTCAGTGGTGCCAACTTGCAAAACAGAATGGATAGGTTAATTATTACCAACCAACCCACTCCAGGTCGAAGACAAGTCTAAGAACCCCTGAAAACCACTCTCTCTGGTGTTCACACATATGGGCACCACCAGACCCACAGTTTGCTGCAGCTAATCCCCACTGCAGAGGCCAGGCCTGCTTCTACACAAAACATACCAGAAGAGCCCAGGCTGGGCTTTAGAGGCAAAGGAACACACCAGCAGGCCACAGGGGTCTCCCCTCCAGAGAGATGACCACAGGATGGCCACCACCTCAGTGCTGACCACCACAACTGCAGTCCTTTGGCTGGCTGGTCACGCCAGCTCCATCACGGTGTTTAAGTACTATGCTCAGCCTGAGCAGAAGCTGAACTAAGGACGGTGGCAGCATGGAAACGGCGTTTTCCACCTTACCACCCCAGCAACCACCGCAGGCAGAACAAAATCCCCAATATAAACACGGGCACTAAGCACCGAGTTCACAGTGAAACGCTCACGGGCTGCTGTGTGCCCCCTCTCCCTCACCGGTGTCGCACATGGCTGTTGCCATGATGATTTTTGTCTTTTATTTTTACATACCTTTTATATGGTCTCAGTACCCTTAATATAGCTGTAATTCTTTAAGCCTGATACCTTAACATAATGCTGGTATTCTGTTAAGCCAAAAGACCAAACTCCTAAAAGCCTCACAGTCAGAAGACAGAAAATCTTACACTGTCTTGAGAAACCCCTCCAAAACACGTTACGCCCATCTAAGAAAAAATACATTAAAATAATCACACTATTTATTTAAACCTCTCATTGAAATGTCTTTGTTAAATATACTAGTTTACAAAACCTATAGAACTGTATACACCATCTACCATACGTATGCATTTTGGTATATGCAAATTTTACAGTTTGCATTTTGGTATAGTCCAATGTGACAAATTGTTACACCATAAAAATCCTAATTAAATACCAAAATAAAAACCTTTTTATCCCTTACCCGTGTCTAACAATTCTAAGACAAGGAAAAAGCATCAAGGGTACTGAAGGAATTCATTACCAGCTTTTTCCTTCTCAGCCCCCTCCCTAACACCATGAACCCACACACAGGCCTGAAGCCCTAAAGACAAAGAATTTTAGGGAACAGCTGACCACAGAGCCCATCAGCAATCAACCTGATGGAGAAGTCCAGCAGAACTGCACAAACAATGCGTGAAAAATTTAAATAAAAACAAGAACAATTCTTGCTGAGCAGAACAACTTATTGTCTAAACCAAAAGCTGAGGTGGCTGCTGCCACAGCAGGTTTAGGAGCTGAATCATGGGGTGAACAAAAAGCTGTGGGAGTTTTCAGATGTATAAGGACAAGCTCAGAGGATAGACCACAACAAGCTGTCTTGTCTGAGGAATGCCATTCCCTGAGAGAAACACGGACTCTTCAGAAGGGCAGAACTCCACCAGCAGCGTGATGACATTACACCCGCAAAGCTCCATCCCACGGGCTGCCTCAATTGCTGCAGGGCTGGAAGGTTCCTCTGGAGCTGTGGGATGGACGGACGGGATCCCCCCTCAGTTCCCTTCTCTGAGCCCGGCACAGAGGTGCTGCAGAGCCCAAATCCGCTCTGTGCCGCCCCGGGCCCCTCCAGCAGATTTTTCTCTTTTTTTCTGCTGTGAGCCAGGCTGGACGCGGCACTAGGAGGCTCAGGAGAAGGGAGAGCGGCAGGCAGGGAGCGCTGCTCGCTCCGCACCCCATTCCCCGCGGTTTGCCTTATCCACCAGCCCAGCCCGGCTGGACCCTCTGCGCACTGCCCACAGGGCGCCAGGGACCGGTACTGCTCGTATTTAAACACAGACTCAAAGTGCTTCACACTCTCTAAGTGTGCAGTGTACCACTGTCCGCTCTACGTGCCATATATGTATTCTGTACAACCTGCAAAATCACCTCGTCTATTTTACTTTATACACCACATACACTCTCCACACACCCCACACAGCGCTCTCGGTACATATCCCACGCTCGATACGCCGTATATAGAAACAAACGGAACCGCAGTAAAGCAACACGACCACCAACATCCAGAAACCTCCGGGGGCAAACCACCCACCCAGGTGCCCTCAGGCAGAGGTCAGACTCGCACAGCCGCGTCGCCCCGACCTCACCCGGCGGGATCGGGGCCGTCTCGGGGCCGAATTCCCTCAGGGCCCGCCCCGCTCCCGCTCCCGGTCCGGCCCCGCCGGCGGCTCCGGGCGGCGGCCTCGGCCCTCGGCTGCGCGCACCGCGCCTGCGCGGCCGCGCCCGCCCCGCCCCGCGCCTGCGCAGCACGCCCGCCCCGCCCCGCGCCTGCGCGCCTCGCCGCGGCCCCGGGGAAGGGGCGGGGCCACGCGCCTGACGGACTGCGTGATGGGCGTGGCATCGTTAAATGGGCGTGGTCACGTTCGTGATTGACAGTGCATGGGGCGGAGTCGGCGATTGGCCTGACCCCCACCGGGGCGGGGCCTGGGGAAAGGGGCGGGGCCTCCGGTGTAGGTCACGCCCCCCGCTTTGTCCCGTACCCCTCCCCCCGCCAGGGGGCGCCGCTCCCGCCTGCGTCTCGTGACGTCACACCCTCTGCGCCCGCGGTGACGTCACTGCAGCGTCATCAGCCCCACCCAGGCCCTGCTCCCTGCCTGTGACCCCCTGCCGTGACGTCACACCTCCCACAGCGATGTCACACCCCCACAGTGACGTCACAGCAGCTCCATCAGCCCCACCCAGGCCCTGCTCCCTGCCTCTTCCGGTGACATCACACCCCCTGCCGTGATGTCACACCCCCACAGTGACATCACACCCCCACAGTGATGTCACACCCCCACAGTGACATCACAGCAGTGCCATCAGCCCCACCCAGGCCCTGCTCCCTGCCTGTTCCGGTGACATCACACCCCCTGCTGTGATGTCACACTCCCCCCACAGTGACATCACACCTCCCACAGTGACATCACACCTCCCACAGTGACAATATGGCCGCTCCATCAGCCCCACCCAGGCCCTGCTCCCTGCCTGTTCTGGTGACATCACACCCCCTGCCGTGATGTCACACTCCCCCCACAGTGACGTCACACCTCCCACAGTGACATCACGGCCGCTCCATCAGCCCACTCAGGCCCTGCTCCCTGCCTGTTCCGGTGACATCACACCCCCACAGTGATGTCACACCCCCTGCCGTGATGTCACACCCCCACAGTGACATCACACCTCCCACAGTGACGTCACAGCAGCGCCATCAGCCCCACCCAGGCCCTGCTCCCTGCCTGTTCCGGTGACATCACACCCCCTGCCGTGATGTCACACCCCCACAGTGATGTCACTGCAGCGCCATCTGCCCCACCCAGGCCCTGCTCCCTGCCTGTTCCGGTGACATCACACCCCCTGCCGTGATGTCACATCCCCTGCCGTGATGTCACACCCCCACAGTGACATCACACCTCCCACAGTGACATCACTGCAGTGCCATCAGCCCCACCCAGGCCCTGCTTCCTGCCTGTTCGGGTGATGTCACACTCCCCCCGCAGTGATGTCACACCGCCGCAGTGACGTCACACCCCCGCAGTGACGTCACACCCCCGCAGTGACATCACCACCGCTCCCTCAGGGAGGGCCAGCGCAGCCCACACACTGTTCCCAGTGGCGCGGCTGAAATGGCCGCTCCCGCCCTGGGCCCACGCAGCACCATCATTCCCGCGGTGACACCATCACAGCACACACAGCTCCTGGTGTTTCCAGAACATTCTTTTCCACATGGCTGCAGCGCCATCCCTCAGCCGAGTGCTGAGGCCCAGGAGCGCGGCCTCGGCAGCCCCGCGGCCGCTCCCACCCCAGGGCCCACACAGCGCCATCATCCCCGCGGTGACACCACCACACCACACACAGCTCCTGGTGTTTCCAGAACCTTCTTTTCCACATGGCCGTGGCACCATCCCTCAGCCGAGCGCCGAGGGCCAGGAGCGCGGCCTCGGCATCCCCACGGCTGCTCCCGCCTGGGCACGGCCGGCCTGGGGGCGCGGGGCCGCGAGCCAACGCCGTCCTGCCCCGTCCTGCCCCGTCCTGGGCTCCGCCGCCCGCGCCAGCATGTAGCTGACCTTGCGCTGGTGCGCCAGGGCCTCCTCCTTGTCGTTCACCTGCCAACGGAGAGCAGAGCGCTCAGCGCCCCGCGCGACACGGCCCATCCGCGCTGCGGGGAGAGCCATGCACTGACCAGATCTATCAGCACCCGCAGCAGCTCCTGGGCATCGTCCAGCTCCCGCACCTTCCTGCCGTCCCCCGCTGACCGCAGCAGGCCGGACAGCCGCCGCCCCAGGCTGGGCTCGCTGCCCTCTGCGGAAAACACAACTGCGTCAGCACAACTGCTCAGGGAGGGGAAAAACACTTCGGGATAAAGCAGGCACTTCTAAACCGGAGCTGAGCAATCCCAGAGAAAAGGGCAACACGAGATGCAGCTCGGCAGGTTCCCCCTGCTCCCGCTGCACTGCACAGACCTCACACGTGGGCAAACTGAGAATTCACTCTATGGAAAACACACTTCTCACGCTCTAGTTAAACAATAATCCACGTAAGTTCATTTTTAAACACTAAGTAGCCTAAAAAACCCAAAGATTCTCTGACACTGGCAACCTACAAGTGTGTAAGATTTCCAGGAATGGTAAAATTCACAGCAGTTTGTTTTTAAACACTAAGTAGCCTTAAAAAAGCAAAGATTCTCTGTCATTGGCCACTTAGAAGTCTGTAAGATTTCCAGAAATGGTAAAATTCATGGTAGTTTGTTTTTAAACACTAAGTAGCCTAAAAAACCCAAAGATTCTCTGACACTGGCCACTTACAAGTCTGTAAGATTTCCAGAAATGGTAAAATACATTAAAATTACAGAAGAGATGTGGCAGGTAACGGAGCCTGAAAGCAATGGGGTCAGTATAGGGGAAACAGATACTCAAGGTTGTGCTGTTGTAGTGCTACACCCCAGGAATTTGGGAGACACATCACACTTCTAAGCTCCTGGCCAATGGTCAAAACAAATATATTGTGCCATTCCTAAAGTCTGCAGTGGGCCTGACCATGATGCAAGCACTGAAATACCTCTCATTATCCCTCTATTTTTTTTTTTAATAATAGAAGATTGTTAGAATTGTATCTACTTTACAGATTGGAAATCTTCCTCTTTTTACACAGGGCTTTGTAACTCTGCATTAGTGTAAGAATACTAATAAACAGAAATACTGATACACATGCATAATAAAAAAGGTAAAATGTTTAAGAAAAAAAAAACCAACTGTTTAGTACTCCAGTGAATTATGGAGCGGCCTGGCTTAGAAAAGACCTTGAAGCTCATCTTGCTCCACACCTTCCACTAGACCAGGCTGCTCAAGCCCCATCTGGAGCTAAAAAACCTCGAGCTATACATTTTTTTTGCATTTCTTCCCCTTCCCCAACTCTTCTACAGAACTAATTTGAAAAAAAAAAAGCCCCAAAGACAGAGCAGTTGCTGGCACCCTTAAACCAGCCCGCTGCCAGCTCTGCTCAGCCGCAGCCCCACGCCCCGGGCAGCACTGAGCCCCCAGCACAGTCTGCGACCACCAGCCCCAAGCACGCCGCCTGCCCAGCTACCAGTGCCCCGCCGCCGCCGCCGGCTGGCAAATCTGCTTTCCTTCTTCACGCCCAGCGCTCCTGCCAGCCTCAGGACCTGCTCCTGCCTCTGCCCCAGCTGCTGCTCAAACGCCATTCGGAAGGCGTCCGCCAGGATATACGCTTCTTCCTTGCTCTTCTTCACATCCTCCATCTGGGGTTAATTCAGGGAAATTCAAAGCGCATTAGCTGCTTTGGAAGCAAAACGGATTTAAAAGGAATATTAAGACACAGACAGCTTGCAAGTAAATATAATCAAGGAAGCAGCAGGAATCAAAGGGTTTTCCTAGTGTGCAAAGAAATGTATTTTGAAACGTGTATTGAAGTCTTTACTCTTCATTGTCTGCACATGTTCACACTCTCAGCCACCTACACAATCATCTCTGTATTTATTTATCTCTGCATATGTACAAGAGCTCAAGGAGACACATAATGTCCCCTCCAGCCAGGCCAGGAGAAAAAGGAGCAAGAGATTGCAATCCATATCAGGGATTATAAGGGACAGGCCAGCACCTGTTTTCAAAACCAGTTGGAAGTTCTGCAGCACAAGGATAGCTACCACATTAGCAGAGTCAAATACAGATTAGAACAAAAAATCCTAAATACACACAATTTCACTAAATAGAAAAAAATCAGGAGCCTGGAACTCACATCACTGATTTAAGTGTGAATAAATAGGTATTTCCAGCAAGATCAGCCTGCTGCCCTAGCTGAGTGAGTGGGCTGTGGGTGCTGATGCCAACGAGGGAGGGGTGGAAGGCACTGCCAGGAAGGAAGGGAAAGGTTCAGTGCCAGTCCACGTGCACAGCGTGCCCATTCATGGGGGACACACACTTAGGGCATGTTCTCTTTTTCAGATTAAAATATACAGGCAGAAGGGAAAAGAATGCAGTTTTCTTTTTTTTTTAACTGGTAAAGCTGAGTAGATATAATCACATTTTTTTTCCTACCAGCAAAAATGATGGCATTACAAGCATCACAAACAAACTTCACAGTATTTCTGAGATCCACTGTGGTTGTGAGAGTTTGTGAGAGCAGTGCCTGGGTGTTTCAGGCTTTGTTTGGACTGGTGCAGGAGCACCCCTCCTTGTCCCCACCCTGCCAGGCTTGTCACCTGCTGCTTGAGATGAAGGAGCTGCTTCCGAGTGAGAGCTGCCACCTTGGCACAGGGACAGGGCTGCCCCTCAGCAGGGCTGCAGGTGCAGGCTCCGAGCACTGCCAGCTGAAAGCCCAAAGCAAACCAGAGGTCAGTCTGAAAAATGCATATTTTATTATAGGCTCTTCGCAAATATTAAATACTGTATGTGGTATAGACGGCTATTTTGTAATACTGTATTAATCCTTTTTAACTAGTGTGTTAAATATAGTTTTAGGTTATAACACAATGCTAAAACAGAATCTCTGCAATGTAAGATATTTTTTACTAGCTCAAGAAAGGGATAAGATAAACAAGAAACTCTTCGCACAGAGATAACAGCAACAGGACACATAAAGAGTTACTACCTCCTTATCAGAAAAGCCAAACATTCTTCCACCTTCTCTCTGTCTTTATGAAACCACCAGGATTAAGGGGAAGGAGTTTACAAAAATCAGAAAAATTCTTAATTTGCAAGGAATTTACAGATCATGTATGAGATATATGAATATGCAACAAGCTGTTGCTTTTAAGAGTTATTCCTTTGCTCACAAGGCATGGTTTTGGCAGCTTAGTGCCCAAAAACATCCAGGTGTCCATAATTCTTTGCTTTTTATTGTCTCGTGGTGTCCTAATCCTCATTGTCGAAGTTTTTTTTTACTCTAATTTTATTACTATTTTAATAACAATTGTATTACCAATACACTTTTAAGATGTTAAACAACAAGTGATTGGTGTTTTTCACAGTCAGGATCTGCTCCTAGAGGTGCCAGCAAAAAACCACCTGTGGGGGGTGGAGGCTTCTGAGTCCAAAGGAGATCTGTGTTTTCAGGCAAAACCCTGAAAACAGGGTGTGCCACACCCTGCAGCCCTCACTGGGATACTGCTGGGCTCACCAAAGCACGAGCAAGCAGGCTTTAAGTGCTAGGGAGAATAAAAAAAAATAAGCATCACAGCTTGTGAAAAATAGCCTGATCCCTTCTTCTGCCTGATCTTTCTTTGCAAGGTGGACCAGGAAGAAGAAAACTGGTTAACAGGCATGCAAAGGCATGTGCTAATGAGCTAAAAACGGATTCAGATAAAGGGATGTGTAATGAGCAATGAATTTTCTCGGTGTACTTTGTACACAAACATGTCCCTGAAGCAGCCATTTGGAAAAGCACACAGGCAATACTCACTTCAAGACCTGTAAAATCAGTGAGGTCACTTTTGTCCAACAACATGCTCTCCTGAAAAACTTTCTGTTGTTTCACATCTAGCATTGCAAGGAACTCCAAGCACTGCTGGTTCAGGACTACAAAATAAAACAAAGGAAGAGATTACAAACACCTCCTGCTCCGATTTCTTAATTTCTGAGTTCAGCTACACCCGAGTGAAGCAGTTTGACAGTTCAAGCATCAGTTTGGGAACAAGATGACAAAGCAGAAGTAGAAACTCATCCTCCAGTTGTTTCTCCTTCTGTGTTCTCCCAGAAGTAATGGCCCACTTAGAGAGAACATTTCCTGTACTGCTCTGCCTCAGGACTTGGAGCTCCTCTCCTCGTACACTTAAAAGTCAGGCAGCCTCTCATTTGGAGCAGCACAACACTGGGCAAGCCATGATTCCAGTCAGCTGTTTTACAGCTTTTTGGAAGGAACAATAAGTAAAGGAAAGGGGCTTGAGTCCTGTGATCCAGTGGCTGCCCTGGCTGCTGTCCAGTTTAATTTCCAGGCTTGTGCATAGCCACTAAGATATGTGAACAAGACACTGATCCTCACAGGAATCTTCCATCACAGCTAAACCTGATTTATTCCTGAAAAAAACAGTGTATTCGGAGGAATAGCTGTCACTGGCTTACTTGCATTTTCAGCTTTAAGTGTTTTAACTTCTTCTGTCCTCAGTTTCAATGCTTCCTTAAGAGCTGCATTTTCACAGTATATCCTGTAGAAGTCAGAAAATGGCTTTACTATATATTTTAAAAACATTTTTAAGTGAGCACTCAGTACTTTTAAAAAGCAACCTGTTAAAACATGGTATCTAATATTTCTGCAAATTAAAATTAGGATTACTTGAGAGATGGAATTAAAAAAAAATCAAAAGTGAAAGGAGCTGAGTACTAGATATAAATTTAAAAAAACAAACCTTCACATATAAGTAGGCAGTGCCATAGCTTTAACAAGAGATGAGTTTAACTGCCACATTTCCATTAGAACTGCAAAGAAATTGGTAATTATGAACCTCTGAAACAATTGCTAGAAATTTCCTATTTCCTTGAAGGAACAAAAGTGATATTAGAGGAGCGACAGCTCTGGTCTGTAAACTTCCTGTAGTCTGAATCCTGTTTTCAGGAACAGCTGTGCCTTCAGGTGTTGCAACATGAGAGCACACAATACACACTGATAATGCATTTTTCCTTGAAGTATTTCCCTCTCGAACAGAACAGAGGCAATCTGACGTCCTAAATGTCAAAGCAATACAATTTATTTGGTGCATCTCCTCAGCTGTCAGTAAATGCAGCCTAGTCTGAATTATTTCACTTAGAAAAAACCTACTCAGTCAGGAAAGCCAGAGAGCCTTTCAAGAGGCACCCCTTGACAAATGTGTCTGTGGAATAGTTTGTAAACTTCTGGCTCATTCTTTGTTTTGAAGCTAAAACATATTTAAATAAAAGCATATTCTGAATTGTAAAGAACAGCAATGAGAATAACAAATAATGACAATAACAGCTCTGATGGGTAGACTCCAGAGATACAATTTCTACCCGTAAATGAGTGAATCTGCTGGTCCCATTTCTCAAGGTGTGTTATGTATAATCAGTTTAGTGCCTCTGGCACATTCTTCTTGCCCAGCCACACCTGCTGTCCCCCCAGGGTGACTCCTATTTAACAAAGAACCTCTTGATTAGCCTTTCTCTAAAGCACTGGTGTTACCTGAGCTCATGCCCAGACCCACAGTGCCAGACAATAAATAAATTATTAACCAGGAAATCTTATTTCCACACACATGCCTATACCATTATTTTCTCTCCCTCATCTATGGTTGAGGTAAATAAGGATACTCAGTCCCCAGCTGGCTAACAGCATATGATTAAAAAAAACCTGAGCCTAGCAGCAAAGCCAGCCTACAGACACCTAAAAAAAAAAAAAACCAAAAAAAAAAAAAGATATTGGGACCATAAGGACCATACACTAGAAATTTTAATTGAAAAATACAAAGGTGATTAGTGTGAAAAATCACAATCTTTAGAAGGGAATTGGGAAAATACAAAACCCCCAAAGAACCACAGGAAGCAAGTTGGGAACAGAACAAATGACACAGAGCACTCAGTGAAATTAAAAAAAAAAATCAAACAAAAACCCCAGTGATACACAGTGTAAGCCAAATACCTGTCATATTTTTCTGTCCAGGTGTCTTCTATGTTTTTCAATCTGTCCTGATCAAATTCAATTTCCCACTGCAAAATATTTATTTCCTGTGGAAACAAAACAAACTTGCAGCAGCTCAGAAGGCTGCCAGGGGTGCTGGGCTTGGCAGAGATCTCCGTGGCCAGGGACAATCTGTGACACTGCTGATAACAGATTTGGTGCCAGACACCAAAGTCTGGCCTGTGGACTGCAGGACTGCAATCTCTTTTCAGAGCCTGCTGCTTCCAGAGGCCCCAGCAAAGACAAACCCACGCTGTCCCACCTCCCTGTCCCACTCCCAGGATGGAACAGAACAGCAAAAAACTCAGTTTAACAAGGGAGCTCAACGTCTTCCTCCTCCCCCCTACTAAAACTGGGCACTCAGAGTCCTTGGGGAGCCTCAGCTGAATCCCTGAGGAGCAACTGAACCCACAAACAGCACCAGCTCCAAGTGCAGGACGAGCTCTGGCTCCTCCTCTGCTATAGCACCAAACGAGACCAAAAGATAAATTAGTATTTCCCTTTCTACTAAAAAGGAACAGGAATTCCTTTCACAACCCCCCTGGAATTAATGCACTGATTTAAATAAGCAGTCTGATAACCCCTTTCCAACAGCCATGGGCTTCTCCCTGTGGGTGAAGGAAACACCCACGTTTACCTTCTCCAGAGTCCTCTTTTCCTCCTCAGTTTTCTGAAGCATTGCTTTTGTATGGCTCGTGGCTTTATCAAACACTGCCTGCAAAATTAACAAACAACAAAACCAAAACACAGCCCTGTCAAATACTGTGGTTAAATTGAGTTAATTTTCAGTTTCACATTCCTGGTCAAACAGCAGAGTGCAGAGCTGCAAACACCAGCAGCCTCCTCGTGAGCCCCAGAGGGTTCTGGTCTCGAGTCTGACTTGCACAACAAACTTTTTGGGTTTCGAGCCCAGAACCTCTGCTGCTGACAGCGCAGCATCATTCACCTGGAGATCGTGTCTTCTTCAGGGCTCCTGCAGGAAGTCACACCTCAAAAAACAGGTTACAACACACCCAAGCTCTGATCCAGGCCTAACTTGCTACAAACAGGTGATGGTTGGAACCACACAACTAGAAATGGGTTATGTAAGTAGGCTAAGTTCCAGGAATTTCAGCAGAATTTGTTATGAAAGAGAATAAAAACACTACAAATGGTGAACAAAAGAACAACCTGACATTTAAGGCACACTGTCCTCTAGGGCAGCCGATGGAGCAGTGAACTTGAAATACTCATGCTTTGCAGCAGGATTCCAAGCACTGCCTAAATCTTCAGTATAAGGGACTGGAAAAAAAATGTAATTTTATCTTTAGTAGATAAATCCTCAAGGATTGTCAAAGATAAAATTGTAATAATTGCTATGACACTAAAGTCTCCTTAAATAACACACTAGTTCCAGTAGATTGTAGGGATGAGTCTGTAGACACCTGCAGACTCAATTATTTAAACTGCAGCCCTGGGAAGGCCTTAAGGTCGCGGAGGTTTTGACGAAGAGTCACAGAAGATTTGCTTTGTTTTCCTTGTTCCCACCAAGAGATTTCTGAACAGCTCCTACCATGCTCTGCAGGATTCTCAGGGCTTCATCTTTTCCTTCAAGTTGTCTTTGAGACGCTTCGAGCTCAACTTTCAAAATGTCAAGTTCCTGCAGCAAAACAAAGTGGGTACACTGAATAAAAGCCAAGGTGATCCTGGTCAGACTCGGCTGTAAAACCAGTGTGAACTTCCCCTCCTCAAAAAACAAACCTCTCTTTTACCTGCACGATGTCTCTTCATGGGCTAAAGAACAGTGCAGATGGAAGGTGTATTTTTACAGCTGAAGTCAGCTGCCTGTGCTGCCAACACCTCAACACATTTAACCACACTAAAATCAAAATGTACTGTTAGCTACCTTTCAACACACATGCAGACTAAAAATCCAGAGATTGTTTACACTACAGACTTTCAAGCCCCAAAGTCTAATAAAACATCTGTTAGAAAAGTACAACAATCTTCAATAATCTCTGCATCTTTAAAAATATTTTAAAAAACCCCACAAACAGACAAACCCCCCAGAATATAAAGTACACCTCACACTAAGATTTCCTGGCATTACATTTAATTTATGTTTTTCCAAGAACCCCGGTGCACCCAAGTCTCTCAGCATGCCAAAATCCTCTTGCTACATGGAAGGGAAATGCAGATTTGGAGAGCAGCTCCTGGGCACTGCTACCAACCTCCAGAGCTTCCCGAAGCTGCTGCTTTAGTTCTTCATTTGACACTTCAGTATTAGATTCTGTAGGATCAATGGAGGATATTAAATGATAAGACACTGTAGCATTTAATGGAAAGAAAAAAAAGAAGTGAGGATTTTATCCTGAAAAGAGTTAACATACAAAGGTGAATTTTCATCTTTGTGTTGAGGGCTTTTTTTCTTGTGGAACTAATAAACAGATTTAACAAATACATCAATACAAGCTTAAAACACATTGCTTCATAGTTAAAAACGTGAAATAGGAGGAAAATATGTGTTGTAAAGAGACATAAAGGCAAACATTTCATAACTTCATTTAAAATAAAGCCAACAAAGTTGCCATCTTGATTTAAAAAAAATAATTGTTTAGATTATTTTCTGATTGCGACTTTTCAACATCCACATTTAAAACAACAGCTGACAGTATTTAGAAGTAGGGGCAATTTTCAGGAGACAGAGATAGCTCAGCTTACTGTGGAAAGGATAATAGGGAATTGTTTAAAGGAGAAAAACAACCAAGTTACACAGAAATACCTCCGTCAAAATATTAAAAATTGACAGGAAAGCAGCCGGACCATAATAAACAGCACTGCCCACATTTTATTGTTTTTACAGCAGCATTGCCTTCACAAAATAGGTTAATACTAATGCAGGTTGTAAAACTTACTTCTTAACCCCTAACGTAAGCCAATTCACTAATTTCAACTAAAGAGCAAATAAGACTTTGAATATTTAGCTACAAATATCTAGCTTTAGGTACTGTCTTTAGGAAGATTTTAACTGGCTTAAATTAGGAATCGAAGCAATGCCACTCAATTTCACAGACACAGCTGAACCCATGTAGGTACGCCCACCACAGGATGCAGAATCAAACACCTTAAAACGGGACATTTCACACTAAGAATGGTCACCACCCTGACCCCCGAGCAGCGACTGGAGGAAGGTGGAGGATCCCAGCGCTTCAGGGAATTTTGGCAAGTGGTTTGAATTAAACTTGATGACACGCTGTGAGGCAGCTGAGCGGCTCACTTCCACCAACAAGAACTTTTGGTATTATGAATAATTAACTTCCAAATTACTCTTACCACAGCTACTCTGCCGTGTGGAACTAGAGGCAGGTTTTTTGAGTGATCCGTCGTAAAAGCTGTTTCGTTTTGGAGCAGGAAGAGCTGCAGCATCGCTTTCTTCTGCTGCCTTTGCTGACAAGGGGCAACCGCAACTCTTTCCAGATCCCTTCCTAGATCTAACTGAATAGGAATTCTGTAGGTTTTCCCCTTCATAAACGCCTCCCGGTCTTCTCCCAAGCCCGTTTCCCAAGTCTCCGCATGTCATGTCATCCTCTTCTGCTTCCTCCATCTTCTCCTCTTGTTTTTTTCCGGGTTTTTGGTCGGTTTGGGGTTTTTTCCCTGAGCGAGGGCCCCTCAGCTAGGGGCGAACAGCGCCTCCCGCCAGGTCAATTTTCTCTGGAAGAGCAGGAAAGCTCCGGGCTCAGCGCAGCGGGACGAGCCCCGAACGGGGAACGCGAACGCGGGGCTGCGGAGCGGGGCTGCGGAAATCGGTGCCGGGGGAACGGCCCGGGGGACACCCCCTGGGGACACCCCCTGGGTACACCCCTGGGGACACCCCTGGGGACACCCCTGGGGACACCCCCTGGGGGAACACCCCTGGGGACACCCCTGGGGACACCCCTGGGGACACCCCCGGGGACGCCCCTGGGGGGACACCCCTGGGGACACCCCTGGGGGAACACCCCTGGGGGAACACCCCTGGGACACCCCCGGGGACACCCCTGGGACACCCCTGGGGGAACACCCCTGGGGACACACCCCTGGGGACACCCCTGGGACACCCCTGGGGGGACACCCCTGGGGACACCCCCGGGGACACCCCTGGGGGGACAACCCTGGGACACCCCTGGGGGGACACCCCCGGGGACACCCCTGGGGGACACTCCTGGGACACCCCCGGGGACACCCCCGGACCCGCCCGAGCCCCCGACCCACCTGCGCGCCCGCGGAGCCGGAGCCGGTCCCGCCCCAGCGGCTCCGGGCGCGGCCGGGGCTGCTCGGGAGGAGGAAAAGTTCGCTCATTCCTGATTATCCGCGCTCCCCATCGCACCGCACCCGCGGGCAGCACCGCTGAGCCGCCCACGCGTGGTCACTCCGCTGCTCCCACGGACCGGGCGTGAAAAACGCACGTTTTAGGATTGGCTTTTCGCAAATGTTACAATGAATATTATATGTGTGATTTAGAAAGTTATGCTGTATTACTTAAGTAGTGTGTTAAATATAGTTTTAGGTTACAACATAATGTTGAAACAGAAATCTGCGATGTAGGATTATTTCACAGCTCAAGCAAGAGATGAGATAATCAAGAAACTCTTCACACTGAGGTGTCAGTGACTTGGGGCCCATGAAGAGTTACAGCCTTCTTATCAGGAAAACAAACATTCTTCCACCTTCTCTCCACCTTCTCATCTTTATGGAACCACCAGGATTAAGGGGAAGGAATTGACAAAAACCAGAAAAGCTCTTAATTTGCAAGGAATTTATGCATCATGTATGAGATATATGAATATGCAACAGCGTATTGCTTTTAAGGTGATTCCTTTGTTCACAAGGCATGCTTTTTGTGACTTAGTGTCTGAGAGCATCCAGACATCCGTAATTCTTTGCTTTTTATTGTCTTGTAGTTGACCTAACTCTAAATTTTATTACTCTAATTGTATTACTATTTTTATAACCATTTTATTATTATTACTGAACTTTAAAAATTTTTCACACTGGGGCTGTCCTGACACTCTGCACATCACCCCCACCTGCTGCCGGCTCCTGGCCAACTCTGCCCCAGCTGCCACAATGCCTGGGCCCAGCTCTTCAAGGAAACATGTTATTTTTCACCATTTTGGTTTATAATGTCATCATTAATTATTACAGAAATATGGATATTGATCTAGTACTGATATCCAGCTGTGACAGACAGAAACTCTCTAACAGTTTAAAGTTAGAAAGTGTGTTTACTGTGTGTGGGGTCGCTCCCAAATCCACACCGCACCTTCCAGGTGATTGCAGAGCCCTTTTAGCCAGACAAGTATTGAATACCCAAAATAAAAATGCATATTCAGAACTTTGGTACATCCCATTCCTCATTTCAAAATCCATTCAGCATGTGTGGTTTGTCCCTTGAAATGGGTCAGTGTCCCTTTCATGGGAAGGGGTCCCAAAATGAGGAAATAAATGAATTCTTCCTCGTTCTGACCTTTCTATCTTTTCAATGCAAGTATGACAAATGAACTCTTGGTAGAACTCCCATTCCTTGTCTTCAGTTGGTTTCAGAACAGAGGAGGTCCACAATTGTCTTATGTTCCTAAAAGCTCTTTGTCAGTTTGTGTATTCTTCATTATAAACCCAGCTAACTAAACATTGTGCTGACAAGCAATCAGTTATTAGTTAACTCCTAACTCCTAACTTCATCAAGGCCTACTCATTTATTTTAATTAACTCTAGTAAGGCTTATCTCTAACTAAAATCTTAGCTCCTCTAAAGTGTGTAACTTTCTTAAAGTTTATGTTTCAACCACATTTCTGTGTCAGCAAAAAAAAACCCCAATAGCAAATTTGGAATAAAAAATAAAGCTGTAAATATGTAACAACAACACTCTTCACGGCAGAATTTTGCAAAGAAGTTGCTTTACTACCCAAACTCCTGTGGCTGAAGGGTTTGTAAGCAAGCACTTGCTGCAGAAGCTGTCACGAGGCTTTCCCTGCAGGCGGGTTTTCTGCGAGGAAAGTTCCCTCTTCCCTGTGCAGCCCTGCCCTGGGGCCCAGGCTCTGCCAGCAGCCACAACAGATCCCAAATCCACCCCTGGCACCTCGGATCCTGTGGGGCTGTCCTCACAAGGGGTGCACTCACCCGTGACGAGGACAGCAGATGGGCAACACAGAGAAAAAATTAAAAAGTTTATTGTTCAGCACCCCAGACCACTGCTCACACAGCCCATGTTTCCTTACACATTAAGCAGCCTCCAAAGCTCCACACAATCACTTAAAAATAACTCTCTTATCACCTCTTTTCCCTCCAAAGCCAAGGACCACCTTACCCTGTTCCAGTCCTCTCACTCTGCATTATCCTCACGTGTCCCAGGCCACAGTGGAGCACAGCAGGCTTTAATCCCACAGCTCAGCATCAAACCAACTCCTTTCCAGGACACTGGTCCAGACTCTGGAAATCAAAAGTGCCTCAAGTGCCACTGTTCCACAGTTTTCTCACAGGGAATTCATGGTTTGGTGTAAAGAATTCTCAGTTACGGGGCACAGCTCCTGCTCCTCAGGACAGCGCCTCATTTTTATCCTTCCAGACACTCTATCAGTTCTCCTCGTGCCTCCGGGGTGCTGATACAAATCCTCACACCTGGCTACTCTGAACTCCTCCTACTCTCCAGCCAGTTACAACAGAGTTCATGTTCATGTACAACACAGGAATTACAATATCGTTCACTACTCCCTCCCTCTCTCCCTGCCGAGCAGAGATCCAGCAGTTACTGCTTCACCAGCAGTCAGTTGTTGTCCTTCATCCACTGCTCAATCCATTGCATAATCTGATCCAAATTTCTCTCCAGGTCCTCTGGAGTGTTGCTGGGCAGCTGGTGTACAATTTCCTTTCTGTAGGACAGCACAGCCTCCTCATACAGAGTCTGAAAAATCTCGCACTGAATGTTGTCCTGCAGCTTCTTGCCCGTGTAGCCCCTGCAGAAGGAGCAGGAGAGACGGTGTGAGGCACAGAGCGGGGCTCAGGAGGGGATTTTGGGGAGTTCCTGGGCACACCTGCTCTCCAGCCGCTGGTACAGACAGGAGTTGTCAGTGCGCAGCACGAACACGATGTGGAACCAGCGCTCGGGGAAAAAGTCACAGCCGTGGTAGTCCACAATCACCCCTCCCTCGCTCATCCGGGGCTCCAGCTCATCCACCACCTGCCAGAGAGACACGGGGGCTCACCTGGGCTGTACACATACACAGAGGGGCTCACCTGGGCTGTACACATACACAGAGGGGCTCACCTGGGCTGCTCACACACACACAGGGGCTCACCTGGGCTGCTCAGACACAGAGGGGCTCACCTGGGCTGCACACACACACACAGGGGCTCACCTGGGCTGCTGAGACACACACAGGGGCTCACCTGGGCTGCTGTGACACAGAGGGGCTCACCTGGGCTGCTCACACACACACACAGGGGCTCACCTGGGCTGCTCACACACACACACAGGGGCTCACCTGGGCTGCTCACACACACACAGGGGCTCACCTGGGCTGCTGTGACACACACAGGGGCTCACCTGGGCTGCTGTGACACACACAGGGGCTCACCTGGGCTGCTCACACACACACAGGGGCTCACCTGGGCTGCTCAGACACACACACAGGGGCTCACCTGGGCTGCTCACACACACACAGGGGCTCACCTGGGCTGCACACAAACACACAGGGGCTCACCTGGGCTGCTCAGACACACACAGGGGCTCACCTGGGCTGCTCAGACACACACAGGGGCTCACCTGGTGCTGCTCACACACACACAGGGGCTCACCTGGGCTGCTCACACACACACAGGGGCTCACCTGGGCTGCTGTGACACACACAGGGGCTCACCTGGGCTGCTGTGACACACACAGGGGCTCACCTGGGCTGCTCACACACACAGGGGCTCACCTGGGCTGCACACACACACACAGGGGCTCACCTGGGCTGCTGTGACACACAGGGGCTCACCTGGGCTGCTCACACACACACAGGGGCTCACCTGGGCTGCTGTGACACACAGGGGCTCACCTGGGCTGCACACACACGCACACACACACACACAGGGGCTCACCTGGGCTGCTCAGACACACACAGGGGCTCACCTGGGCTGCTCACACACACACAGGGGCTCACCTGCCCTGCACACACACACACACAGGGGCTCACCTGGGCTGCACACACACGCACACACACACACACAGGGGCTCACCTGGGCGCACACACACACACAGGGGCTGAAGGAGCTGCACAGCCCCAGCAGAGTGGGCCCCGGGGTGCACTCACCCTGTCCTCATCCAGGATGGGGCAGCCGTACTCCTCGTCGAAGCCCTCGTAGAGCTCTCCTGCAGCACAGGGAATTCCCAGCGTTTGTTGGCTACCAGGATTAGCTCACATTGCTGGTTTTGTCTCAGGAGAGTGCAGGGGAAAGGCCAGTCTCGGGGCAGGGAACACTTTGTTTACAAAGCCACATGAGGATGAGTTTGTTATTTATTCATTAGCACCACCAGCGCTGCTACAGACACAGCTGCTGGAGTGAATTAATCCAATTCACAGAACCACAGGTGTGTTTGGGCTGGAAGGGACCTCAGAGCCCACCCCTGCACGGCAGGAACACCTCCCACTGCTCCAATGCTCCAGCCCCAGTGTTCCCCCTTGGTGTGGGCACTGCCAGGGATCCAGGGCAGCCCCAGCTGCTCTGGCCATCCCAGCCCAGCAGGAATTCCTCATTCCCAGTATCCCACCCAGCCCGCCCTGGGGCACTGGGAGCCATTCCCTGGCTCCTGTCCCTCCATCCCTTGTCCCCATCCCTCTGCAGCTCTCCAGAGCCCCTCCGGGCCGTGCCAGGGGCTCTGAGCCCCCCAGAGCCACCCCAGCTGTCCCAGAGCCACCCCAGCTGTCCCCGAGAGGCAAGCAGGGGCTCCCAGTGCCCCGGCCAGCCCAGCAGAGCCGCTGTGACACTGCACCTTCCTTGGCCAGGTCCCCCACGTTGACGTAGCTCAGCCCAGCTCTGGAGGCCAGCTCCTTCCCCAGCGTGGTTTTCCCGACTCCCGGCGTGCCTGGGGGGCAAACACAGCCAGGGCTAAGGGCAGAGCCTTAACAGCCCCTGCAGGTGAGCTGGAGCCTCTGACAGCCCACCTCGGAGGTCATGAAAAGGGGAAAAGCTGCAGGGCGAGGAGAACAGGCGAGAGCAGGCAGAGAACTGGTGGTGTGCAGGAGCAGCACTCGCACCGTGAGGGGTCCCAGGCACACCTCACCCACCCCAAACGCTCAGCTGAAACGGAGCAGCCGCCCGTTCTCACGAAGGAGGGGAGCCGCAGAACCGCCCCGGGCTGTGACCCACACCCCACACCCCACAGCCCAGCCGGGCTGCTGCCCCACGGCTTAACCGCTGCGGGCTGCGGTGGGGCCGGGCCGGGACCCCACATCCCCCCGGGCCGGGACCCCACACCACAAACCCCCCAGGGCTGGGACCCCAAATCCCCCCGGGCCGGGACCCCAAATCCACCCGGGCTGGGACCGCAAATCCCCCCGGGCTGGGACCTCGCACCACAAACCCCCCCCGGGCCGGGACCCCGAAAGCCAAATCACCCCGGGCCGGGACCCCAGGCTGGGACCCCAACCCCAGTGAGCCCAAGACTGCACCCCACAGCTCCCGGGGCTGCGGTGGGGCCCGGCCCAGACCCCAAATCCCCCCAGGCTGGGACCTCGCGCCACAAACCCCCCAGGGCTGGGACCCCAAATCCCCCCGGGCCGGGACCCCAAATCCCCCCCGGCCCAGACCCCAAATCCCCCCGGGCCGGGACCCCAGATCCCCCCGGGCTGGGACCCCAAATCCCCCCGGGCCGGGACCCCGCACCACAAACCCCCCCCGGGCTGGGACCCCAAATCCCCTCAGGCTGGGACCCCAAAAGCCGAATCGTCTCGGGCCGGGACCCCAGGCCCCAGCGGGCCCAGCCCCGCACCCCACAGCTCCCGGGCCGCGATTGGGCCGCGTCCCAGACCCCAAATCCCCCCCGGCCGTGCCCCGCACCCCGCGGCGGGCCGTGCCCCGCTGTCCCCGGCGCCCACCGGTGATGAGCACGTTGGGCCGCCTCATGGCCGCCGCCGGCGCCGCGGACACACGCGGGGGGCCTGCCCCGCCGCCGCGCGCGCCGATGGCGTCACCGCTGAGCGCCGATGGCGTCACCGCTGCGCGCCGATGGCGTCACCGCTGCGCGCCGGCCCGGAGGAAGGACCCCGGGCGCCGTGTGGGGACCGCGGCCTACCGGGAGCGGAGCGCGGGGAGCACCGGAGAGCACCGGGAACCACCGGGAGCGGAGCGCAGGGAGCACCGGGAACCACCGGGAACCACCGGGAACCACCGGGAGCCACCGGGAACCACCGGGAACCACCGGGAGCGGAGCGCAGGGAGCGCCCGGAACCACCGGGAACCACCGGGAGCGGAGAGCAGGGACCACCGGGAACCACCGGGAAACACCGGGAGCGGAGCGCAGGGAGCACCGGGAACCACCAGGAACCACCGGGAACCATCGGGAACCACCGGGAGCGGAGCGCAGGGAGCACCCGGAACCACCGGGAGCGGAGGGCCGGGAGCACCCGGAACCACCGGGAACCACCGGGAGCGGAGGGCCGGGAGCTCCGGGAGGGAAGCACCGGGAGCCGCTAGGAGCCACCGAGAGCGGAGCACCGGGAACCACCGGGAACCACCGGGAGCGGAGCACCGGGAACCACCGGGAACCACCGGGAGCGGAGCACCGGGAACCACCGGGAGCGGAGCACCGGGAACCACCGGGAGCGGAGCACCGGGAACCACCGGGAACCACCGGGAGCGGAGCACCGGGAGTCACCGGGAGCTCCGGGAGGGAAGCACCGGGAGCCGCCAGGAGCCACCGGGAGCGGAGCACCGGGAGCACCGGGAGCACCGGGCCGGAGCGCCGCCCCGGCCGAGGATGTCCGGGAGCGGCCCGGGACGGCCGGCGGAGGTGGGTGCTGTTTGGGTGCGGGCACGGGGCTGTCCCGGAGCGCTCCGTGAGCTCCGCGCCGGCCGTGTGCCGTTTCTCAGCGGGGCAGTGCCGGTGTTCGCTGGGAGGGAGGTTCGGTCGGTGTGGCTGCGAGCGAGGAGCTCAGGAGAGACCCCAAAACCTCCGCAAAGCCCCAGCCCCGGCTCTGCCCGCCCCGCCGAGACGGGTCTGGGGCAGCGGGGAGCGGTCCCTGCCCGGGGCTGGGCAGGGGGACAGGACAGATCCGCTGAGCCTCACACCGCCTCGTCTGCTGCTGTTGGACACCAAATCAGCACACAGACACTCTTTTCCAACAGAAAATGAGCCGGTTGTATTCCAACATCTGGTGTTTATAGAATTCCAAAGGCGACCGTGGATTGGAGGATGGAGTTCCACCTCTCCAACCACACTGGTCCAAAGATCAATCAGTCAGTTCTCTCCACCCACAGAGAAATATGTAAACTGTTCTATTTATACACGAAATTGTGTGGGAACTCTGACTCTCAAACATGTAAACATTATCAGAAGGCTAAAGAAGTTCCATGACTTTAGAAAAATTTAAAAAAGTTTAAAGAAACTTTAAAAAAAGTTTTAAACTTTAAAACTTTCAAAAGAGCTATAAAAGAAAACTTAACATTTTAAAAAATCAGGGCAACATCGTCCTGCAGCACTGGGGCAGCCAGACAGATAATTGGTGATGCTGAGATAGAGAGGTCTGAGCCAGAATTATCCCAGGCAGCCCAGCCACTGCTGGAGTGAGCCACAGCTGAGATGTGAACATGCATTTTTGAGCAGTGGGAAGGTGAAGGAAAGGCTGGGCTTCTTCCTCAGACTCAGTGTGAGGAGGCTGTGCTGTCCTACAGAAAGCAGTTCAGCTGTGGTTTTTCCATCACAGAGCCCCAGAGCAGCTGTAGTTTTTCCATCACAGAACCCCAGAGCAGTTCAGTTGTAGTTTTCCATCACAGAACCCCAGAGCAGTTGTAGTTTTTCCATCACAGAACCCCAGAGCAGTTCAGTTGTGTTTTTTTTTTTCCATCACAGAGCCCCAGAGCAGTTCAGTTGCAGTTTTTCCATCACAGAACCCCAGAGCAGTTTTAGTTGGAAGGACCAAATCCCACCCAGTGCCCCGTGCCATGGCAGGGACCCCTCCGCAGTCCCCGTGTCCAGCCTGGCCCTGGGCAGTGCCAGGGACCCCGGGGCAGTGTGCACTTGAGAAATGTGTCCTGTTCCTGGGCTGGCTGTGCCCCGCTGCGGGAAGGCAGGCACTGCATTCCAGCCCACAGCTCTGTGTTTGTTTCTGCAGGTGCCCACAGCTCTGTGTTTCTGCAGGTGCCCACAGCTCTGTGTTTCTGCAGGTGCCCACAGCTCTGTGTTTCTGCATTCCAGCCCACAGCTCTGTGTTTCTGCATTCCAGCCCACAGCTCTGTGTTTGTTTCTGCAGGTGCCCACAGCTCTGTGTTTGTTTCTGCAGGTGCCCACAGCTCTGTGTTTGTTTCTGCAGGTGCCCACAGCTCTGTGTGTGTTTCTGCAGGTCACCCACAGCTCTGTGTTTGTTTCTGCAGGTCACCCACAGCTCTGTGTTTCTGCAGGTCACCCACAGCTCTGTGTTTCTGCAGGTGCCCACAGCTCTGTGTTTCTGCATTCCAGCCCACAGCTCTGTGTTTCTGTGGTTGGCCCACAGCTCTGTGTTTCTGCAGGTCCCCACAGCTCTGTGTTTCTGCAGGTCACCCACAGCTCTGTGTTTCTGCAGGTCCCCCACAGCTCTGTGTTTGTTTCTGCAGGTGCCCACAGCTCTGTGTTTCTGCAGGTCCCCACAGCTCTGTGTTTCTGCAGGTGCCCACAGCTCTGTGTTTCTGCAGGTGCCCACAGCTCTGTGTTTCTACAGGTGCCCACAGCTCTGTGTTTGTTTCTGCAGGTGCCCACAGCTCTGTGTTTGTTTCTGCAGGTGCCCACAGCTCTGTGTTTCTGCATTCCAGCCCACAGCTCTGTGTTTCTGCATTCCAGCCCACAGCTCTGTGTTTGTTTCTGCAGGTGCCCCACAGCTCTGTGTTTGTTTCTGCAGGTGCCCACAGCTCTGTGTTTCTGCAGGTGCCCCACAGCTCTGTGTTTCTGCAGGTGCCCACAGCTCTGTGTTTCTGCAGGTGCCCACAGCTCTGTGTTTCTGCATTCCAGCCCACAGCTCTGTGTTTCTGCAGGTGCCCACAGCTCTGTGTTTGTTTCTGCAGGTGCCCACAGCTCTGTGTTTGTTTCTGCAGGTGCCCACAGCTCTGTGTGTGTTTCTGCAGGTGCCCCACAGCTCTGTGTTTCTGCAGGTGCCCCACAGCTCTGTGTTTCTGCAGGTGCCCACAGCTCTGTGTTTCTGCAGGTGCCCCACAGCTCTGTGTTTGTTTCTGCAGGTGCCCACAGCTCTGTGTTTCTGCAGGTGCCCACAGCTCTGTGTTTCTGCAGGTGCCCACAGCTCTGTGTTTCTGCATTCCAGCCCACAGCTCTGTGTTTCTGCAGGTGCCCACAGCTCTGTGTTTCTGCATTCCAGCCCACAGCTCTGTGTGTGTTTCTGCAGGTGCCCACAGCTCTGTGTTTCTGCATGCCAGCCCACAGCTCTGTGTTTCTGCAGGTGCCCACAGCTCTGTGTTTCTGCAGGTGCCCACAGCTCTGTGTTTCTGCATTCCAGCCCACAGCTCTGTGTTTCTGCAGGTGCCCACAGCTCTGTGTTTCTGCTGTTGGCCCACAGCTCTGTGTGTGTTTCTGCAGGTGCCCACAGCTCTGTGTTTCTGCAGGTGCCCACAGCTCTGTGTTTCTGCAGGTGCCCACAGCTCTGTGTTTCTGCATTCCAGCCCACAGCTCTGTGTTTCTGCAGGTGCCCACAGCTCTGTGTTTCTGCAGGTGCCCACAGCTCTGTGTTTCTGCAGTGCCCACAGCTCTGTGTTTCTGCATTCCAGCCCACAGCTCTGTGTTTCTGCAGGTGCCCACAGCTCTGTGTTTCTGCAGGTGCCCACAGCTCTGTGTTTCTGCAGGTGCCCACAGCTCTGTGTTTCTGCAGGTGCCCACAGCTCTGTGTTTCTGCATTCCAGCCCACAGCTCTGTGTTTCTGCAGTGCCCACAGCTCTGTGTTTCTGCATTCCAGCCCACAGCTCTGTGTTTCTGCAGGTGCCCACAGCTCTGTGTTTCTGCATTCCAGCCCACAGCTCTGTGTTTCTGCAGTGCCCACAGCTCTGTGTTTCTGCATTCCAGCCCACAGCTCTGTGTTTCTGCAGGTGCCCACAGCTCTGTGTTTCTGCATTCCAGCCCACAGCTCTGTGTGTGTTTCTGCAGGTGCCCACAGCTCTGTGTGTGTTTCTGCAGGTGGCAGAGTGGCCGGCACAGCCGTTCGAGGATTTCTTCGGGAGCACTGGTCTCGGCCCCTGTGCCGTGAGGCCGCTGAGAGGCGGCCCTGGCAGGAGCCGTGGGCAGAAGCAGAGAGCCCCGAGCCCCGTGGCAGAGAAGAGCAGAGCTGCAGCTGCTCCCAGGAAAAGAGCCACGCCGGGCCGGAGCCGAGCCCGGGAGGAGCTGCCGTGGGTGGAGAGACACCGACCTGAAACGCAGGTGTGAGAGCTGCTGGCACCACGGTCCTGCTGTGCCTCTGTGCACAGCCTCTCACCACACCTCTCACCACATATATTAAACAGCACATGTTGTTTCCTGTCAGTCCTCCTGTAAACTCTCAAACCCCTTACTGAATTCCGCACAGATCTGATATTCCAGGCACTGGGAAACCCAGACGTGCGGGATTTGCAGAAGTTACAGAAATCTCTATGCTACTAGAGTAAAAAAAGTAAAAAGGACTGGCTCCAGCAACAGCCATGAAGTACCCTGACACAGAAAATATTGTAGCATAACCACTTAAAGAATAATAAATAGCTCATTATTTCCTCTCTACAAGGAATGGAAAATTGATTGATCGAGGAAACAGGATGAGATGATCATCCTTAACTGTGGCATTGCTTCTGCAGAGCACACACGTAACTGCAACATGCACCAACATGTCTGTTGATATTTTATCCAGCATTTATTGTGCTCTTTAACTTCATCATTGGAAACCAAGAGTTTAATATGTAACTTTCATGTATTTTAACCCTGTTTCAGAATGACCTTGCTGTGCAAAAGAAGAAGATCGAGGAAGTTGAAACCTGGTTAAAAACACACATATTTCAGAGGCAGCCAAAGCAGGTAAACTTGCTAAATTCTGTAACTGGAGGCATCAAACCATACAAACGAGCTGGATGGAATTTCAAGTTCAGAGAGAAGCCTCAGCTGAGGGAGATAGTGACCGTGTGTCTTGTGCATTGTAGAAGATACTCTAGTTAGAGCTTGTACATTTATTTTGGGCTTATGCTCCCAAGAGGTGGATTCTGGTTTTGCTCAGAAATACTGTTTTCTGGCATCCAGTCGTAAATCACAGCTCTTCAGTAAGTGCCTAAAGCTGCATTTTACCTCTGCCAGGTTAATTTTTAAGTGTTGTGACAACTTTCCAGTTGCACTGGGCTGGTGTAAGGATGGCGAAGATGTTTTTAATCTCAATGTTAATAAGAGGCATTCTTAAACACGAATTGCCAGCCCTGCCTGGTGTTTTCCAGAGCTGGTTCTTCAGGTGAGTGTCTGTTGTGTTGGCAGTGACTTTACTTACCAGAGGCATTAGGAGCAGAGTAAGGTTCCCAGAGTCCTGGCCTGGTTCTCTCTGTCTGAGTTCTCAGCAGGTGAATTAACAGCACAAAATGTGTGACTGGGGTTTCACTGGGAGAGAGCATCATTGCCAGAGAAACTACAGGAAAAGTTCAGCCAGTATCCATCCTTAGCCAGCTGTCAGTCTTTATTTATCACAGCTGTGATTATGTGTTTTTTCTCTGTGTCAGGGTGGCCCTATCTTGCTGCTGACTGGCCCTCCTGGCTGTGGAAAAACTGCAACTCTCCAAATTCTGGCCAGAGATCTTGGCCTTCAGGTGCAGGAGTGGACCAATCCACTCTCTTTAGACTTCACAAAGGAAGACTTGAGAAGCATGTTTGGCCATGGTAAGTGTGTTGGGGATTTTTCTTTTTATCTCTTTCTTTCCCCTTCCAGTTGCTTTTGTGGGTTTTCTATCTTGTACTTTTGCTTCGTTTCTCTCTGTCACTTGTGAAATTGGATCCACATCCATTAAATCCATTCCTTAGTGTTTAGCTAGGATCCTTCTGTTGCTTTTATCTGGAAAGGGATTTAGGTTTTTTTGCAGTGTTTAGTCAAAAATAATTGACAATTCACATCAGTACAGAGAGCTCTGTAATAGCCTGGGTATAATTTGAACCAAATAAATGAAAATAGGTCAGTGTCTTTGTCTGGGTCCTCAGTTGAATTACACCCCTTTAAAAATTCTCCTGTGTTTGTCACATGTTCATGTGGGTATTTATATTTTGCTTGGTATAATATAGAATACATATTTTTAATTAGTTTTCTTTTTCAGACTCAAATTCTCATACGTTTCCGAGTCAGGCCCAAGCAGCTCTCTTTCAAGATTTTCTATTAAGAGCAAATAAGTATAACAAACTTCAGATGCTTGGGGAGTCCTCAGAAAATGATAAAAAGCTTATTCTTATTGAAGTAAGTGAAAACTTGTGAAATGTTGTCTTTCAAACAGTACCTTTTGTTGCAATATTGGCATGATGAGATTGGCAGATGAGATCTTCATTAGTTTTTATGTCTCTGCAGCAGTCTAGAGCCGTGTTTTGCCACAGGAGCAAGTAGTCAGGCAGAAATAGGAGGCTGGTTTGGGCACAGAAATACATAACAGAGTATCAAAAAGCAGGTCAATATTGAGAAGTCATTCCTACATTTCTGGATGATTTAATTTCCAGAAAGATATATGTGTATAAACAAGAAGAGTGGAAAACACACCACTATTCCTGTTATTCAGTGATGCATGAGAGTGTAGGGGACACATGAGAATGAACACAAGCAGGAGCAGTTGAAATTTAGCACTTTCTCCCTGGTTTTACACAGGTGGTGTTGTTTAGGGCATGGGTGTGGACTGGGAGTTTGTGAGCAGGTACAGGACAAGGCTGTATTTGTACTTGTGTAGAAATGTGTTTCAGTAGCAATTTCTTTCTGAACTTTGCAATTCTTTTCCCAAGAGAAATTCTAGAAATGGTAGTGAGGTTGTCTGTAAACTTCCAGGACCAAAAGAGACAGAATTTCTGGCAGGGAAATGTGATGTGCCGTAGAATTTAGGAAGCAGATTCTCATGAGACTTGTCTTTCTTAAGTCACCTTCCTGTGCAGGCCCTGTGACACCTCACATGGGTGTCCTGCCCTCTTCCCCAAGGGAGCTGCTCCTGCAGTGTTTGTCCTCTGGGTGAAACTCTTGTTCACAGGCAGAGTGATCACCCAAGGCTGTGTCTTAGGGAACAGCGATAAAACATTTATTTGTAGGTGATCCTTTCCCTTAATGAGACACACTGTGCTCTCTGGGTTTGTGTCCCCCTGCTGCTCCTCTGTCCAGGGTCTGCTGTGTTCAGGTGTAGCTGACAGCAGGAAACCAGCAGTTAAAAATGTGTGGCAATGCCGTGTGCCACGACAGTCAGTCTGTGGAGGAGAGTGTTTACATCCCAGTGTCGTGACAGCAGCTCTTTGTTTTGGACAGGACATTCCCAACCAGTTCTACCGGGATCCTGGAAGCCTACATGAAATCCTCAGGTCAGTGGCAAATAAGTTGTTAATGATGAGCTTTGGTGGCTTGCCAAGCTGGAGTTTGATATTCATCACATTCTGTTGTTCTGCTGTGCAGGAGTTTTGTTCGTAGGAGTAGGTGCCCCCTGGTCTTTATAATCTCAGATAACTTCAGTGGAGACAGCAACCAGAGGTCACTGTTCCCCGCTGAAATTGTAGAGGAGTTGTGTATATTCAATATTAGGTGAGATGTTCTACCTCAATAAAACATGGTTCAAATAACTGAGAGGTTAGAAACTAATTAATTTTTTTTTAATGGTCTTCAACAGTTTCAAGCCTGTTGCACCGACCAATATGATGAAAGTTCTTACTCGAATAGCTGCAGCAGAAGCCAGTATGGTAAGTTGTCAAAGCTCATAACTTCTGTGCAGGGCTAGGACTATATAAAAATATTTTGGTTTTTCTACTGTATTTGATCTTTGATAGAGAGCCCCGCATCTCCTCAAAGGAAAAAGCGTTTTCCCCAGGGCAACAGAAAGCAAGGAACAAGCTAGACAGATACCCTGTTTTTAAGATTAGTTTTGCTTGATCTGTGGTCCAAGTCTACAGAGTTGCTTCTGAAAATTACTCTGGTTATTACAGTAACTATATAAGTGAAACAAATAATAGGAAGAGATATAATCTTTCATGTATCCAGCAAGGCCAGAAGAGGTTGTGAACCTGAACCTTGTATTGCTCCTGAACTGTTTTCATTACAAGCATTATCATATAGAGTGACACCTTGCAAAGAGTTATGTGTATAATGTTGTTATATAACTTGTGACAGTGTACCTAAACAAATTAAATTTTTAAAGTTCATAGTATTCTGTGGTTTGTTCATGGTGTGTGTCAGAGGTGGGCTCCCACAGCCATCTTCAGATACTCTTTTTCCTATTCTTCTATTGCTTTGAATATTGCTGTTTTTCCTGTTTGTTCTATTGCTGTTTTTCCTTGTAGAACAGAGAGAATTATGCCCCTGATAGAACTTCTCTGGAGTTGCTTTGCAGAGGTTGCTCAGGTGACATAAGAAGTGCAATAAACAGCCTTCAGTTTTCCTCTACGAAAGGTACAAATTACGGTTTATTAGGTGAAGTGATATTTTGACCATTTCTGCTGAAAACATGTTCTGCTCACAGCTGCAGCACAGGTGGGTGAGTTGCAAAACGTTCTGGACACGCTTCTGTGGAGCAGGAACAAACACAGGGTGTGTGGGGGCGTGAGTGGGGCTCAGCTCTTGCAGGCTGGGCTTAAACCATGACACGTGTGCATGGGCTGATGTAATTTGATGAAATACCCTCTTTTCTTCCTGGTATCTCTGCTATTTGTGTTTGCTGTTCAGAGTTTCTATGATGCAGCCTTAGTTTGAAAGGGATACTTTCCTTGCTTGGTTTTTGCATTTCCCAAACTGCTTATTTTATGAGCATTTTACAGGTCAGCAGTTGTAAAGGAGCCAGTGTATGTGAGTTACATTTTTAAAAGCAGTCCTCTGGCATGTGTTGTTCATTGTCAGGACTGTGAAATGCTGGCATTACTTACATTAAAGTTGGGCCTAAGGAAACAGACTCAGCAACTGTCTTTTGCTGTATGTGGTAGAGTTAGTGATGGTATTGTTTCTGTCACACATTCTTCTCCTCCCATTTACTTTGCAAATAGCAAATGTGCTTGTGGAATACAAGACTAAAGGTAGTTTACAGCCCCTTTTTTAAGAGAGGTGCTTACTTTGAGTTTTAGGGTATATTGAAATTAGCTGGGCAGTATTAGTTGTGTTACACAAGGCAGAGAGTCAAGTTTCTAAATTTAACTTGCAGATGTTGCAGATCAATTATTCTGCTGATGTCTTCAGGTGTACCAGGCTTGGATTGTTCTGTGTGAATCAGAAAAAGCAGAGGATTCCTCTCAGTGGGGTGACTCTGCCATCAGTATGAGTGAATATTATTAGATTGATGTTATCTGAGAAAAGCATGCAGTATCTCACTGCTGGACACATCCTAAACAATGTTAAAATAACCAGTTTGTGTAATTTTTAATAAGTTACCTTGGAAACGTAAAACCATGATAGTTAGAGCTGGGGAGAAAAGAAAGGGGTATGACTTCAGAGCTTTGGTGTGTGGACTGCTGGAGTCACAGCACACTGAGCATTCTCCTCTCACACTTTCCCTGACACTGAGAAGGTGTTTGAGCAGAACATGTGCAGTTGTGCAGTATTTCAGTGAGGTGAGTGACTGGCAGCCAGGGATGCTGTGCGAGTTTGGAAGATACCCCATCTCCTTGGTGGTCTCCTGAGCACCCAGCAACTTTTGAAATTATGTAAGGGGTGTTTCTTCATGTGTCTGTCTGTGTAAGCACCATTGATACATTCATTTTGTAACACTATTAATGGGTAAAACAGATCCATGGTAATTGTGGGAAAAAAGAAAAATAAATACCTAAAGTACAATTTGTCTTAGCTCAGTAAGGAACATTCAAATGTCACAAAATGAAATTGTGGGTGAAAATTTTCAAGTTTATTAATTTAGAGTAGGATAAGGGTTTTATTTCATGAAGCTCAGAACTTTGTGTAAGATAGCAGGCAGTTGGTAGAATCACCTAAATGAAAGGTTATCTTTGCCACTTTGTATTTCAGGGAGGTTATTGTACAGATAATGCCAGTAGAAGACACAATTGATAAGTAAACAGGATGTAACTGAAATATAATTTGCATATATTTGTACTTGTGCTTTGAAAATGTGAAATTCTAAACGTGGTCAAGCAGGGAATGTATCAGAACTAGAAGGGATAAGTCTGAATGCTTTTTTCAAAGACAGCTTTTTATTGTTCAAAAAGTGCTTGGTAGCTGAGCTGTGGCTAAAGGGACAGAAGTGGAATGAAGGTAATGAATTATGCTAATTTAGGTGACTGGGCTGTGTTCCTAATAAATGAGTTTTCTCATAGTGCTTCCATTTATATAGCCTGTTCTGTTCCCTTTGTTAGTACTGCTTGTTCACACAGAACATCAGCAATAGCATTATAGAAAACTTCTGCAGAATCATGTACTCTGTCTTGATTTTATTTTTTATTTTATTAATAGGCTGCTCATTGGAGAAAGAATTTTGGTCAAAGAAGAAGAAGAAGTGCTCCACAACAAAATGTGAGGAAGCAGGAGTATCCAAAGTAAGAAAGAGAAGTAAATGTGATACCTCAGAAGACCAGGAGATACAAGCTATTGGTGGCAAGGATGCATCCATTTTTCTTTTCCATGCTCTGGGGAAGATTATTTATTGCAAAAGTAAGAAAACTTTGAGTTATTCTCCCTTTTCCGTGGTGAAATCATGTTAGCTGCTACTAGCTGGAGTTGCTACAGTAAGGCTTTGGATGGGCTCTGCCTGGGCTGTTTGGTCAGTAACAACAGCATAAAATCAGCTACATCAGTGTCCCTCTTGCCACTGGCTGTGCACATTTTGGTAGTAATTCCCAATACTGGCTCCGAAACCAGCTGAGGAGAAGTGGTGTGGTGAGGGAATACAATTATTTTATTAGATTTGTTATATGAATCTTAATGCAGCTATTTGTGTGTTGATGACTGTGTTATATTGGCTATAATAATGAAGTGCCTGTGCCTGTCCCAGAGCTGTCTGGGAATGGAAAATGCTGTCATTTAGCTGCTGGTGGAGCTGACGGTAGAACACAAAGGCTGAAGTTGTGCAATCCCTTCCAGGAGAAGCAGTGTCAGAAGCAGAGTGCCCTCAGCTGCCTGCTCACCTGTCCAGACACCGCCGGGACACCTTGCTCATTCAGCCTGAGGTACTCCTGCAGCAGCCCCACTTCAGTGGGGCCCCAAGGGGTTGGTGCAAACCCTCCAGCACATGGGTTTGCTCCTGTCTCAGCTGCTGTGCCTTCAGTCTGAGCTAGGGCATCGCTCCTCTGGGAGGGAGCGCTGGGGCAGGCCAGCTCTTGTGCCTGGGCATTGCTGCACAGGCCTTGTGTTCAGCTCCCTGACCTGGTGTATCACAGCTGTTTACACAGCATCCTTTCCTTATCCACCTGTGAAGCCCAAATTTGCTTCTTCCTAACAGGAAATCGTGGAGAAATCACATATGTCTGGAAGCATGTTCAATCTGTACCTTCACCAGAACTACGTGGACTTTTTTTCTGATATAGACGATGTAGTGAGAGCCAGTGAATATTTGAGCACTGCTGACGTCCTTTGTAGTAACTGGAGTGTAAGTGTCATCTTTCTATAGGCACACACTTGTCTTTAAGTACTTTGACATTGAGCCTCTCAACTTTTCACTGCGCTTTTTAAAGTTTGCTGCAGTCTTAGGGTGTGAGGGATTTGAATTGTAAATGAGTGCTGAAGTACATCAGCTGCAGAAGAGATGCAAAGCCAGTGTTTTGTCCAGCTTCTGTCAGCATTTTGTTACAATGGGTTGTAGTTGTTGTAGAATACAAAGTATTTTTGAGTAGAATATGTTTATACTAAGAAGGAATCAAGCTGTTTCTTTTTCCATAGCTGCTTTGAACACGAGTTCTGCAGTAATCTAAAGTTTAAAATGCTGTGCATGCTGTGCCAGCGCAGTCACTGTGTGTGTTTCAGTGCAGGTGAGCTGCCTGGAGCTCACCCAGGGCCCCGTTTCTCTCTCAGGCACGGCTGGTGATGGAGAGCTACGCTGCCTCCGTGGCTACCCGAGGGGTGATCCACTCCAACACCTCCAGAGCCTCTGCCCACCAGCAGGGGGGCATGGGCTTCCGACCCCTACATAAACCCCAGTGGTTTTTGATCAATAAAAAGGTAAATCCTTGCCTTTGGCTTTTCTTAATTCCTTTTCCCCTAAGGTAGTATATTCCTTTTCCCCTAAGGTAGTATATTCCTTTTCCCCTGTTGAGCAGTATAGCTCAAATTTGATAACAATGCTAAATTTGTCAAATACCCTATTTTGAGATAGTCTGGTTCTATAAAGCACTTGTTAGAAGAGCAGTTTGCATCACTCCTTTAATGTGAAAATAAATTGGAGGCCACTGACAAAGTCTGATTTCCAAGCTGGCATGTTCCCTGGAGAGCCTTAATCCTAAATTAACAGGGAGACAACTGTACTTGAAGTACTGTTAATATTTCTGGAACTCAGTCTGGTTTTGTGCCATTTGAAGCACATTGAAGCACTGTTGTGTAAGTGTAAGAAATGTCTGCTGTTATGGTTTATGTGTTTATTAGAAATAGCTTGTTCAGGTGACACTGCAGGTCTGGGCGTTTTTTACATTTGAACTAACATGTTGGCAAGAAGCATTGCCCTGGGTGGGCTGGGAATTCTGTAAAAAATGAATAATTTTTTTTTTTATTTTAATGCCCAGTAAAAGGCAAAGGTGAGGGATTCTACCATTTTTAAGATTGGCATATTAGCTGCCTTCATTCTCTTAATCTGGCCTCATTTTTCAGTAGCAAGTAGGAGGAAAGTCTGTGGTTGAGGTTATGGTACAGAACATCTACATTCTTAATGTTTTACCAGGTTTTTCACTTGTGTTTCTCCCCCAAACTCTTACAGTATCAGGAAAATTGCATTGCTGCAAAATCTCTGTTTTCAAGCTTCTGTTTACCACCTGAGTGCCTTCAGACAGAGCTGCTGCCTTATCTTGCTATGTTAGCAAACCCAATGAGAAACCAAGGTAAGATGGATCCAGGTAACTCTCGATCTTGGACTCTTCTTGCAGTTGAAACACACTGACAAATTTCATAAGCCAAAAGGTCAATAATGTTTATGCTTTTGCCTCAGCATAAAACATTCTCCTGGCAAATGTTATGTGGGTGATGCCCAAAGATGCTTCCAGTACCACAGCCAAAATTTTTTATCCACAAAGATGACCTCATTCTTTAGTTCCAGAAGGTTAGGCTGGTTCATTTCATACATGTCCATTTTCCTGCAAATATCATCCTACACCTTTCCAGTAACAGCAACACCCTTACAACAGCTCAAAAAGCCTTTCATAGATAAAAGAAGAAAAATTCCAGTTTACAGTGCATTAAAAAAAAAAGTTGAATCTGAGATAATCCATTAGCAAATGGATTATCTCAGTTCTTGCAGAAAAATTTACTTTGTATGGTACATAGTGCAAAAATTAGTATTTAGAGAGCTGGGTCACTTGTGCTGTTGTTAATTGTTTCTAATAAAAAGCATCATGTCTTAACTGAGGCCTTGACATCAGGATGAGTGAATTTTGTAGGCTGTGGAGTAACAGTTCTACATGATAAATATACAGGGGATGAACTTCAGGGATTTGGAATTTTGTGTGTAGACCATCTGTAAATATGTTGTGGTAAACTGTAACAATTTGGGGGGAAAAAGTTACACACACGGTGTTTTGGTATCTAAAACATTTCAAATATTTACAGGAATACTCAAATAAGGTCATTGTTTATTTTCTAGTACTGTTTATTTTCTAGTTCAGCTGTCTGTTCATTATGATCTACCTAGTATGATACTGGTGGCTCTTTGTTCTCAGCTCAGATTGCTTTTATCCAAGACGTGGGGAGGCTGCCACTGAAAAGACATTTTGGGAGGTAAGCTGAACTTCTGCCTGTAGTTAAAAAGTGAGACTGTGTCATATGTGAAGGGGCTGATGACTTAAGTCTGTGATGTAACATTCAAAGACAAGGTGTTTTTAAAGGTCTGTTTAATCTGAAATTGGATAGCTGCACTGGTTTAATCTTGTGGAAGTTTTGTCTGTAAGGCTACTCAGAGTAAACCTTTATTCAGAATGCATGGTTTCTCATCAGGCTAGAGCTGCTGACTGCTGAAAGCCCAGGGTGTTTCCCTGTGGGGCTGCAGTGGCTCCTCACAGGCTGAGTGTGCAGCCTCAGGGCTGACCTGGCACGAGCAGCTCTGTTGTGACTCCTTCTCTGGGCCAGAGACTTCACTGACCCCAGCAGAGCCCCAGTTACACTGCTAGGGCTGTGATCCTCTGGAATTTAAAGTGTTTTAATCGCTGTGTTTCTAGCAAAGAATCAATTCACAGCTGCAGTGAGGCAAACTGTCATCTGCTAACTAGGACATAGTTTACTGAGGCATCTGACAGAGCACTCCTACTTGTCCCTGGTGTTGCTGCTGAGTTTGACTGAATTTCCAAGGTGTATTTCCAAGAACCACCCTGTTCCCAGCTGCTGTATTAAAAGCCATTTTGGTTGTTAGGGAGAAAGGCAAGTGTCCCTAAGGGGTGCATTTCTTTGTAATCCCCCTGGTCTGTGCCACAAGGTGTGAAATTCCTCAAATTAATCATAACTCCCTTGTGCCTTTTAAGTTTCCCTGCAGCATCCCTGTGGATAGTCACATTTTGTATCTGCATTAATAAGTTGGTGTGGTGTCACAGTGCCTGATCTGAGGGGTGAAAGGTGAAATCCTGATAAAAGCGCTGTCATCCTTGTCCATCTGTTCAGCGTGCAGGAACCGTAGTGCAGAGAAATGTGGGTGTTTGCTTCTCAGGGGTCATGATAGGGAGTCGGGTGTGTTCCTGCAGTGTGGGAGGCAGTGAGGTTGTGCCGGGGCAGGCGTGCTCAGCCGTGCTCAGGCGTGCTCAGCCGTGCTCAGCCGTGCTGCCCTGCTCTCTGCAGGCTGCAGCTGGAGGCTCTGACCGACCAGGACCCCGGGCTGCCGGAGCTGTCCCACGGCGACGGCGACCCCGAGGGGCTGCCCTCCAGCCAGTCCAGCGGGAGTGACCTGCCCGGCAGCCAGCCACAGCCCGTGGCAGCCCAGGCCCTCCTGGAGGAGGAGGAACTGAGGATCGAGGAGTACGACAGCGACTGAGCCGCCCGGTGCCGTGCCGGTGGTGCTGGGGAGCTCTGCCCAGCTGGGCTGCCGAGCTGCACGGGCTGCAAACCCAGCCCAGGCTCCTGTGAGCTCAACCCAGGCTCCTGCAAGCCCAGCCCAGCCCGGGCTACAGTGAGCCCAGCACGGAGAGCCCCGCGCCCTCCTCGCTCCGCCGGGCCAGCCAAGCCCCACACTCAGCCTTCCTTCCTCTCCTGAGCCGCAGTACCGAGAGAAATAAAGGGCTGAAATCCATTTTTTGAAGGACACTAGACACTATCAGCAGTGTCACTCTTAAATTATTTGTGTTTTTACACGTTTTAATATACTTCGTACCTGTGCAGCGCGTTTCCTGAGTACACATTCCGTGAGTTGTCAGCATTTCGAGGGTTTGTTCAAATTTTGTTCAAATTCACGCTTCCAAAAAAATGCTGTTTGGAAGTTCGGCCCTTCTGGAAAGAAGAGGCTGAAATTTATACCTAAAAAGTCACCGTACTGATGATGTAAAGAAAACTTCTATTGTATTCATACTGTTTTGTACTCTGTCTTACAGAAGACATAAATAAGATCTTCATGTCTTTATAAGTGGAACAAATGTTGTACCATGGATTATTTTGTATTCCTCTTGGAAAAAAAAAATTTCATAACTTTTAGGGGGGAAAAAACAGCAATTAAGCAGAAGTTGTACTTTGTAGGAAGATAAATGTGCAGTTTTTCTCCTTGGCTTGCAGTTGTGCTGGGGGAAGCAGTGATCCTGTGTTTGGTAACTGACACATGATCGGGTGCAGAGAGGAAAAACAGCTTTGTGTGTGCACGTTGGCGTTTCTGTATTGCTTACAGCCAGTTTGGTGACAGAAAACAGTGTTTATCCACCCTGACCTTGGATTAATGCTATTAAACAGTCTGTGCCTGTCCTTACTCAAGGGACAAGTGTGGTCTTTTCATCTGCAGCTACTGCTTAATTTTGAAGGGAGAAATTTCACTCCTAAGTCTAAAATTCTGTTGCAGCTATACTGATTACAGAGAATCAGACTGTCTTTGGCTGTTCATGACCAGTAACCCTTTTTTTCCAGCAGGGTTTGGATGGGCTGTTCCTGGGGTGCCTCCAGCACAAGTAACAGCCAGGCCTAAAATACTGATTTTTATCTTGAAGCACACCCCCACCCTGCTTTATTGTATTTTTTCAGCTTTCTTTACAGTAGGACCAGGTACCTGCAGCTGCTGTGCTGGCTTTTCCTTGTCAGGGCAGAATGTTGTTTTGACTTTTAGAAGAGTTTTCTTTTATAGTTCTTTTAAAAGTTTTTAAAGTTTTCATAAAAGTTCTTTATCCTTCTGATAAAGTTTACGTATTTCTCCTTTGGAGAGCCCCATGGCTCACGCTGGAGCCACCCAGCCCTGTCTCCATGTGGGGCTGTGGCTGGGGGCTGTCCCTCACAGGGACCTCGGCCAGGGGGAGGGACAGACACACAGACACACGGACACACGGACACACAGACACACAGACACGGACACAGGCGCTGAGAGCAGCACGGGAACACAACAGTCACACACAAGGAGCAGGATTTTCCTTCTTCCCCTGGTCCCGTTGTGAAAAACGCTAATTACTTGGGGTTTAAAAATTCTACATTTAATAATAATAAAAAGGTTAAAAGAATAATAACACAATTAGAGTAATAAAATTTAGAGTTAGGACAATTGCAAGACAACAAAAAGCAAACAATTACGGATGTCCGGATGCTCTCGGACACTCAGTCATGAAAAGCATCCCTTGTAAATAAAGGAATAACCTTAAAAGCAACAGCAACAGCCTGTTGCATATTCATATATCTCATACATGATGCATAATAAAGTCCCCCGTCCCTCCCGTCCCCCTCTCCCTCTATCTCTCTGTCCCCTCTGTCCCCTCTCTGTCCCTCTGTCCCTCTGTCCCCTCTCTGTCCCTCTGTCCCCTCTGTCCCCCCTCTGTCCCTCTGTCCCTCTGTCCCTCTGTCCCTCTGTCCCCTCTGTCCCTCTGTCCCCTCTCTGTCCCTCTGTCCCCTGTGTCCCTCTGTCCCTCTGTCCCCCTCTGTCCCCTCTGTCCCTCTGTCCCCTGTGTCCCTCTGTCCCTCTGTCCCCTCTGTCCCCTCTGTCCCCTCTGTCCCCTCTGTCCCTCTGTCCCCTCTCTGTCCCTCTGTCCCTCTGTCCCCTCTCTGTCCCCTCTCTGTCCCCTCTGTCCCCTCTGTCCCCTCTGTCCCCTCTGTCCCTCTGTCCCCTCTGTCCCCTCTCTGTCCCTCTGTCCCTCTGTCCCTCTGTCCCTCTGTCCCCTCTGTCCCTCTGTCCCCTCTGTCCCCTCTGTCCCTCTGTCCCTCTGTCCCTCTGTCCCTCTGTCCCCTCTGTCCCCTCTGTCCCTCTGTCCCTCTGTCCCCTCTGTCCCCTCTCTGTCCCTCTGTCCCTCTGTCCCTCTGTCCCTCTGTCCCCTCTGTCCCCTCTCTGTCCCCTCTCTGTCCCTCTGTCTCTCTGTCCCTCTGTCCCTCTGTCCCTCTGTCCCTCTGTCCCCTCTGTCCCCTCTGTCCCTCTGTCCCTCTGTCCCCTCTGTCCCTCTGTCCCTCTGTCCCCTCTGTCCCTCTGTCCCCTCTGTCCCCTCTGTCCCCTCTGTCCCTCTGTCCCTCTGTCCCCTCTGTCCCCTCTCTGTCCCTCTGTCCCTCTGTCTCTCTGTCCCTCTGTCCCTCTGTCCCCTCTGTCCCCTCTCTGTCCCTCTGTCCCCTCTGTCCCTCTGTCCCCTCTGTCCCCTCTGTCCCTCTGTCCCTCTGTCCCCTCTGTCCCCTCTGTCCCTCTGTCCCTCTGTCCCTCTGTCCCCTCTGTCCCTCTGTCCCCTCTGTCCCTCTGTCCCTCTGTCCCCTCTGTCCCCTCTGTCCCCTCTGTCCCTCTGTCCCTCTGTCCCTCTGTCCCCTCTCTGTCCCCTCTGTCCCCTCTGTCCCCTCTGTCCCTCTGTCCCTCTGTCCCTCTGTCCCCTCTCTGTCCCTCTGTCCCTCTGTCCCTCTGTCCCCTCTGTCCCCTCTCTGTCCCTCTGTCCCTCTGTCCCTCTGTCCCTCTGTCCCCTCTGTCCCCTCTGTCCCTCTGTCCCTCTGTCCCTCTGTCCCCTCTCTGTCCCTCTGTCCCCTCTGTCCCCTCTCTGTCCCTCTGTCCCTCTGTCCCTCTGTCCCTCTGTCCCTCTGTCCCCTCTGTCCCTCTGTCCCTCTGTCCCCTCTCTGTCCCTCTGTCCCCTCTGTCCCCTCTCTGTCCCTCTGTCCCTCTGTCCCTCTGTCCCCTCTGTCCCTCTGTCCCTCTGTCCCTCTGTCCCTCTGTCCCTCTGTCCCCTCTGTCCCCTCTGTCCCTCTGTCCCTCTGTCCCTCTGTCCCTCTGTCCCTCTGTCCCTCTGTCCCTCTGTCCCTCTGTCCCTCTGTCTCTCTGTCCCTCTGTCCCCTCTGTCCCTCTGTCCCTCTGTCCCTCTGTCCCTCTGTCCCTCTGTCCCTCTGTCTCTCTGTCCCTCTGTCCCTCTGTCTCTCTGTCCCTCTGTCCCCTCTGTCCCTCTGTCCCTCTGTCCCTCTGTCCCTCTGTCCCTCTGTCCCTCTGTCCCTCTGTCTCTCTGTCCCTCTGTCCCTCTGTCTCTCTGTCCCTCTGTCCCCTCTGTCCCTCTGTCCCCTCTGTCCCTCTGTCCCTCTGTCCCTCTGTCCCTCTGTCCCTCTGTCCCTCTCTGTCCCTCTGACCCCCTGACCCCAATGCCCGGCGCTGATTGGCTGTCGCGATGCCCGGCGCTGATTGGCTATCACGACGCCCGTCTCTGATTGGCTCCGCGCGGCCCGGAAGCGGAAGCGGTGCGGAGCGGGGATCCGGCGGCAATGGCGGCGGAGGTGGCTGAGGCGGAGGCGGCGGACGGGCGGTGTCGGCTACGGCGCTTCTCCTGCGAGCTGGGGCTGCTCTCGCGGCCCGACGGCTCGGCCGCCTTCCTGCAGGGTCTGTGGGGCTGCGGTGCCTGGGGCTGAGCATCCCACCCCATGCCATGCCATGCCACCCCATGCCACCCCACCCCACCCCTTCCCACCCATTCCATCCCATCCCATCCCATTCCACCCCACCCCTTCCCACCCATCCCATCCCATCCCATCCCACCCATCCCATCCCATCCCCGTCCCGTCCCGTCCCGTCCCATCCCGTCCCACCCCACCCATCCCACCCACCCCACCCCACCCCATCCCGCAGACTCGGCGGGGCTCCATTTGCCGGCTGTGCCCTTCGTTCCTCCCTGTGGTTCATTTTCCCGCCTTCCCCCCAAGTCCCTCCTTCCCAGCCGATCCCATCTCCCCTTCCCGGGGCCCCTCGTTCCCCCCCAGCCCTTCCCGCAGCTCTGTGGTGCTGTGGCCCTTCCCGGGGTGCCCCTGCGGTCCCTGAGGAGAGCCCTGCCCTGTGCCCAGGGGACACCTCGGTGCTGGCAGGGCTGTACGGCCCCGCGGAGGCCAAGATCAGCAAGGAGCTGCCGGACCGCGCGGCGCTGGACGTGCTGCTGCGCCCCAAGGTGGGGCTGCCAGGTGGGGACTGCCCTCCCGCCCTGCCCCAGAGCTCTTCCCCCAGAGCCGCCTATTGGGTTCATTTACAGCTCTGTAAATCGGTTCTGCTGGGTGGCAGATCCACAAACCCCTCCATTATTGCCTCAGTTTAGTCAACAAAGGCACTGGTGCTTGTTTGCCACCCAGCTGTGTGGTTAATTAGCGCTGTCCCTGTGCTGGGTGACGAGTCCTGGCTGCTGTCACTAATTAGTGCCGCTCTGGCTCTGGCTCTGCTCTGCCTCGGGGCCTGCCCCCGCTGTCAGCCCTGTTCCCGCTGTGAAAAACGCCAGTCACTCCGTTTTTAAACATTTTAAAAGTTTAATAGTAATAAAACGGTTATAAAAATAGTAATACAATTACAGTAATAAAATTTAGAGTTAGGACAATCACAAGACAGTAAAAAGCAAAGAATTACAGACGTCTGGATGCTCTCAGACACTCAGTCATGAAAAGCATCCCGTGTAAATAAGGAATAACCTTAAAAGCAACAACGTAATGCATATTCATATATCCTTCATGGTTATGCATACATTCTATTTAAAACAAGAACTCTGTCTGTTGTATGTCAGCTGTTTCCTTTAATCCCCGTGGCATCTTCCGGTCTGAGCAAGGCCTGAAGAAATTAGCTTCTTTTGATAAAAAAACGCTTAAAAAAAACCCCTTCACCTAGCAGTTTCTACTTTAACACTATGCTGGAACCCGAAACTATATTTAACACAGTACTTAAGAGCATTAATACAGCATAACTTTCTGACACGACACATGCAATATTCACTGTAACATTTGCAAAAGCCAATGATAAGAGGTGCATTTGTCACACGGCCGGAGCCCACGCAGCGCTGTCTGCAGGATTCCTCCTTCCCCGGGCTGGTCCTTGCGGCGCTGCCGTGTCCTGCAGGCGCTCCCCGTGCGGGGCTGTGCGCTGCCCGGGCACCCCGCGGGGCTCTGGGTTTGTGTGTCCTTCCCGAGGCTCCTGGGGCAGATCTGACACCCTCTGCCCGTGCGCAGGCGTGCTGGAGCGCAGCCGGGAGCAGCTGCTGCAGCAGACGTGCGAGGCCGTGGTGCTGGGCGTGCTGCACCCGCGCACTGCCATCTCGCTGGTGCTGCAGGTGCTCAGCGACGCCGGCTCTGTATCCTTTGCTGCGTTGGGGGGGCTGGGGCAGCGGGGCTGTTGGTGCTGTGGGTGCCTTGACACACACCCAGCTGCTCTCCTGCTGCCTGAACGCCGCCTGCATGGCGCTGCTGGACGCCGGCCTGCCCCTCTCCGCCCTCTTCTGCGGCGTCACCTGCGCCCTGCAGCCCGACGGCGCCATCCTGCTGGACCCCACCGCCCGGCAGGAGCAGGTGAGCCCCGGGGGGAGCCCTGCGTGAGGGTGCCTCCCAGCCCTGCTGACCCCCGTCCCCGCAGGAGGCACGCGCCGTCCTCACCTTCGCCATCGCCAGCGCCGAGAGGAAGGTGCTGATGGTCACCACCAAGGGCAGCTGTTCCGTGCAGGAGGTGAGGGGCTCCCGGGGGGGTTTGGGGTGCGGGATCCCTCACAGGGGCCCCTCACTCCCGGCCCTTCGCCGTGCAGATGCAGCAGTGCCTGGCCGCAGCCCAGCGCGCCGCCGACACCATCTTCCAGTTCTACCGCGACTCTGTGCGCCGCCGCTACTCCAAGTGCTGAGCCGGGGACGCCCCGCGGGCAGCTGGACTGGCCTGGGCCCCGGCCCTCAGTAAAGGACTGTTCTCCCTCCGCCCTGCCTCCTGAGTCCGTCTGTGCCCACAGGGTCCCCTGAGAGCGGCACACACGGGCTCCGTGCTGGGGACACGTGTCCCAGCACCTGGCGGCTCCTGAGACCCCGGGCTGGGGACACACAGACACAGCGAGGGCACGGGCCTGGCAGGACACCCAACATGGCGGCCATGGGGTGCCACATGTCTGCTGGTACACCCAACATGGCGGCTGTGGGAGTGTGCCACACCTGTGCTGGCACACCCAACATGGCGCCCATGGGGTGCCACACCTGTGCTGGCACACCCAGCATGGCGCCCATGGAGGTGCCACACCTGTGCTGACACACCCAACATGGCGGCTGTGGGAGTGCCACACCTGTGCTGGTACACCCAAAATGGCGCTGTGGGAGTGTGACACACCTGTGCTGGCACACCCAACATGGCGCCCATGGGGGTGCCACACCTGTGCTGGTACACCCAACATGGCGCCCATGGGGTGCCACACCTGTGCTGGCACACCCAACATGGCGCCCATGGGAAGTGCCACACCTGTGCTGGTACACCCAACATGGCGGCTGTGGGGTGCCACACCTGTGCTGACACACCCAACATGGCGCCCATGGGGTGCCACACCTGTGCTGGCACACCCAACATGGCGGCTGTAGGAGTGCCACACCTGTGCTGGCACACCCAACATGGCGGCTGTGGGAGTGCCACACCTGTGCTGCCACACCCAACATGGCGGCTCTGGGAGTGCCACACCTGTGCTGCCACACCCAACATGGCACCCATGGGAAGTGCCACACCTGTGCTGGCACACCCAACATGGCGCCCATGGGAAGTGCCACACCTGTGCTGGCACACCCAACATGGCGGCTGTGGGAGTGCCACACCTGTGTGCCACACCCAACATGGCGCCCGTGGGGTGCCACACCTGTGTGCCACACCCAACATGGCACCCATGGGGTGCCACACCTGTGCTGGCACACCCAACATGGCGGCTCTGGGAGTGCCACACCTGTGCTGACACACCCAACATGGCGGCTGTGGGGTTGAGGGTGGGGGACATACGGAGTCGAAGAGGAGGATCGGTGGGGGGCAGTAATGGGGTGTGGGGGGGCAATAACGGGGGCAGTGGGTCCCTCTGGGTCCCTGTGGGTGTGAGGATCCCTGTGGGTGTCCATGACTCCCTCTGGGTGTCCCCTGTGGGTCCATGTGGGTCATTGAGGGTCCCTGTGGGTCTCAGTGGGTGTCTGCGGGGGTGTCTCTGGGTCCCTGTGGGTCTGTGAGGGTCCCTGTGGGTGTCCATGACTCCCTGTGGGTGTCCCATGTGGGTCCCTGTGGGTCCGTGTGGGTCATTGAGGGTCCCTGTGGGTCTCAGTGGGTGTCTGTGGGGTGTCTCTGGGTCCCTGTGGGTCTGTGAGGGTGTCTGTGGGTCTCTCTGGGTCCCTCTGGGTGTCTCTCGTCCCCGTGGGTGTCTGTGGGTGTCTGTAGGTCTCTGTGAGGGTCTCTGTGGGTCCCTGGGGGTCCCCATGGGTCGCTGTGTGGATCCCCGTGGGTCCCTGTGGGTCCCTGTGGGTCCCTGTGGGTTGCTGGGGGGTCCCTGTAGGTCTCTGTGGGTCCCTGTGTGGGTCCCCGTGGGTCTCTGTGGGTCCCTGTGAGGGTCCTTGTGGGTCTGTGGGGGTCCCCATGGGTCCCTGTGTGGGTCTCTGTGGGTCGCTGGAGGTCCCCGTGGGTCCCTTTGGGTGTCTGTGGGTCGCTGTGTGGGTCCCCGTGGGTGTCTCTGGGTCCCTGTGGGTCCCCGTGGGTCCCTGTGGGTGTCCGTGAGGGGGCGGTGCCCTCCCGTTCCCGCCCCGCCTGACCGCGCATGCGCCCGCGCGCGTGCGCCCCCACGTGACGCGGCGCGGACATGGCGGCGGCGGCGGCGGCGCTGCGGGGCCGGCGGTTCAAGTGGTCGCTGGACCTGGGGGCAGCTCCGGGGGCTCGGTGAGGGCCGGGGGGCTGGGGGGGCTCGGTGAGGGCTCGGTGAGGGCTCGGTGAGGGCCGGCACGCCGCGCGCCCCCGCTGAGCCGCCCCGCTGTCCGCAGGCCCCGCGGAGCCGCCGAGGGCCGCGGCCCGCTCGGGTTCGCGGAGCGGCAGCTGGGGGAGGGCGGCGTGCACGAGAGCGACAAGATCCTCATGGAGAAGGTGCGGGGCAGCGGCTCCGGGTGCGCCGAGGGCCCGCACGGCCCAGGCTCCGTGCGGGAGCGGCCGTGCCCGCCGCGGGGCTCGCTGGCCCGGGATCGCCGCGCTCCCGGCCCGGGGCAGCGCTGGCCCGGCTCCCCACAGATCCCGGCTCCCGGGGTGCTCCCTGTCCCAGCTCCGCGCCCGCACCGCCGCCGGTCCCTGCCTCAGCCCACCCATGGGTCCCCCACACCCCCGCTCCCCGCGTCCCGGCCCTGCCGGTCCCCCCAGCCCGGGCACGCGTGACGGGTGGTCGCTACCCTGGGACCCGCAATGCCGGGTCCACATACCCACCTTGGGATTCCTCCAGTGCCGGGTTCCCATACCTGCCGTGGGTCCCCATGCCTGCCCTGGGACCCCCGAATGTCAGGTCCCCATCCCCCCCCCCCCCCGGGACCCCCAAATGCTGAGTCCCCATGCCCCCCCTGGGACCCCCAAATACCAGGTCCCCATGCCCCCCCTGGTTCCCCATGCCCCCCCAGGTCCCCATGCCCGCCGTGTCCCTGTCGTTGCAGCGCTGCTGGGACGTGGCTCTGGCGCCGCTGAAGCAGATCCCCATGAACCTGTTCATCATGTACATGGCCGGCAACACCATCTCCATCTTCCCGGCCATGATGGTCTGCATGATGGGCTGGCGCCCGCTGCAGGCCCTCATGTCCCTGTCTGCCAGTGAGTGCAGCCCTGCGTGGGGACAGCCCCACGGGGACAGCCCCACGGGGACTGCCCCTGGGTGTCCCACAGCCCCTGGGTGTCCCCACAGCCCCTGGGTGTCCCACAGCCCCTGGGTGTCCCACAGCCCCTGGGTGTCCCCACGTCCTCTGGGGTTTCCTGCGATTCCCTGGGTGTCCCCACACTCTCCTGGGTGTCCCACAGCCCCTGGGTGTCCCTAGCCCCATGGATGGCCAGATGTGTCCCACAGTCACCTCCACACCCCTCCCCGTGCCCACCAGTCCCCCCGTGGTGCTGCCCACCGCCGTGACCCCTGTGGCAGCTCGGTGGCCTGGGGGTCACTGACAGGCACCCGGTGGCCTCTGTCCCCCCAGCCCTGAAGGCCCTGGAGAGCTCCAGCCGGCGGGCCCTGCAGGGCCTCGTGTTCCTGGTGGGCAACGGGCTGGGACTGGCGCTCGCCCTCTACAAGTGCCAGGCCATGGGGCTGCTGCCCACCCGGCCCTCCGACTGGCTGGCCTTCGTCACCCCCCCGCAGGTGAGCCCGGGGTGCTGGGTCACCCTGCAGGGTCAGGGGTCACCCTGCAGGGTCAGCGGTCACCCTGCAGGGTCAGGGGTCACCCTGCATTGCCTGGGGTCACCCAGCAAAGTTGGGGGTCCTGGGGTCACCCCGCAGGGTCAGGGGTCACTCTGGAAAGTCAGGGGTCATGCAGTCCCCCTGCATTGCCTGGGGTCAGCCCATAGGGTCAGGGGTCACCCCGCAGGGTCAGGGGTCACCCTGCATTGCCTGGGGTCACCCTGTATTGCCTGGGGTCACCCTGCAGGGTCAGCGGTCACCCCACAGGGTCAGGGGTCACCCCGCAGGGTCAGGAGTCACTCTGGAAAGTCAGGGGTCATGCAGTCACCCTGCAGGGTCAGGGGTCACCCCGCAGGGTCAGGGGTCGTGGGTCGGACACCTGGGGCCCCCACTGACCCCTTCCTCTCTCCCCTCTCTTGGCAGCGCATGGAGTTCACTGGGGGGGGCCTGATCCTGTGACCCCCTGTGCCCCCCACCAATAAAGGCGATGGCAGGACGGTGACACTGTTTCTGGGGTCAGTTCTGGGGGTTTGGGGACTGGCAGCTGGGGTTGGGCTGAGCTAGAAAGTGTTTATTGGGCTGGACTGGGAGCACTGGGAGCGCACTGAAATCTGTACTGGGAGTGCCCTGGCAACCTTGGGACCGGCACTGGGAGCACTGGGAGCTTTGGGGCCTGTGCTGGGGTCTGCACTGCAGCTACTCCCAGAGCCACGGGGCCGTACTGGGAGGCATACTGGGAACACTGGGAATACACTGCTGGCCACGTGGGGAGAGCTGCGCCTGAGGCTGGCTCCGGACTGGAAGCACTGGCTCCGTACTGGGAACACTGGGGATCATATCAGGATCTTGGTCTGACTGTAGATGATGCTGGTGGTGTACTGGGAGCACTGGGGCATACTGGGATCCTGCCTGAAGAGCTGTGGCTCACCAGCATTGTACTGGGAGTGCTGGTGGTATGTTGGGAGCACTGGGCACATACTGGGACTGTGCCAGAAGACCTGTGGTGCAGCCAGGGTTGTACTGGGAGCAGTGGGCCCACACTGGGATGGTGCTGGGCATGCCTACCCTGGTGGTTTCTGCAGCATTTCACCATTTTACTTCGGTAATTTCCCAATTTTGACTGTTTTTCTCACCTCTTCTTGCCCATTTGTGCCCCTGTTTTGCCCTTTTCCCTTGCTGTTTCATACTCTTTTTCCCACTTTTGCAGTAATTTCTCCCACTGTTGCTCCCAGTAGAGCCCAAACCTCTGCTTTCCAGTATGGACCAGTGCTTCCCAGTATAGCTTTGTGCCCTCTGCAGGACTTTGAGTGTGATCCAGGACTCCAGGATGATGTGACCATGGCCCAGAGCCCGATCCCAGTATATCCCACCAGCTCCCAGTGCCTTTCCAGTGCTCCCAGTGCTCCCAGTGGCACCACAGCTGCACTGGGGGCAGGGATGGGGCAGGGCCTCCTTCTGTGGAGTCAGTGGGGACATGAGGATGTCACCTCTGCCTCAGCTGGCCGGGCTGTGGCGTGTCCCGGGGTGTCACCGGGCACAGTGACCCCAGGCACAGCATCTCCCGATGGCCACATGTCCCACAGACTCACCCAGCCTGGAAAATCCCTCCCAGCCCGTCCAGTCCAGCCTGTGCTCGGTCCACACCTTGTCCCCAGCCCAGAGCTCCGAGTGCACCTCCAGAATTCCTGGGACACCTCCAGGGATGGGCACTCCAACCCTCCCCGCGCACTTCCAATCCCTGAGCTCCCTTTCCACGGGGAAATTCCTGCTGGTTCCATGTCGGAGAAGGGAGAAGCAGACATCGATTCATCATCTGCAAACTCCGTTTATTTGGTATACATCAGCTGCTTAAATACAGTTCTTAATTAGTTCATACATATTGCAAAAGCCAAGCTCCTTATTGGTTTATTATTGCTATATCAATCTTACATCAACAGGATTTTATGTATCTACTTCTACATTTTTGTGGGTATCGTGTAATGCAAAGTCCCTGCTTCTACGTGCCGTTACCAGTTTCATACCAGTTCCATCCAGGCTTCCTTATCTCAAGGGTACCCTGCTTTTGAAGCTGTCTTTATTCTAACAGAAGACTGCCTTTGTTTTAGTAAGCTGCTACTGCTTAGTCTGCAGGGTCTCTAATCTGCAGAGTCTGCAGCTCCAATAAATTGATCTTGCTATGTCCCTTTTCTGCTAACCATTCCTGAACCAAATCCTCGACACTTCCACCCTGAGCCTGCCCTGGGGCCGTTCCCTCTGCTCCTGTCCCTGTTCCTGGAGCAGAGCTGAGGAGCAGCAGCCGCCCCTCGTTCAGCTGTGGGGCTGTGGGGCTGAAATCCTGAGTGTGCTGAGCACAGAAAGGGCTCCTGTTCCCGGGCTGTGCTCACGTGTGGGCTCACAGCATGTCCTGGGGCACACACACGTGGGGACATGGCACTGAGAGCTTCTCCAGAACACACACGTATGGTGACACTGCCCTGACACCTTCTCCCAGCACACACACACACACACACACACACACACACACACACACACACACACACACACACACACACAGTGACACTGCCCTGACACCTTCTCCCAGCACACACACACACACACGTGTGGTGACACTGCCCTGAAGTCACTAACACACATCCCCCTGTCCCGGGGTGTCCGTGGGGGTCCCTGAGGGTCCGGGACCCCACAGCTGTGTGTGACCACGGGGTGACCTGGTGCTGCTGGGCCAGTGAGGAGAAGGGCTGGCACAGCTGGCCTGGCTCGGTAATCTGTGGGACTTGGTGTGGGTGCAGTGTAGTTTTTTAATTTCTTGGTTAAAGTTTATTGTAATTTTGGTTGTGCACTTCCACAGCCTAACGATTCTGCTAAATGATCATTGGATTAACCCACCAGGTGCAATCAATTCTTCATCGGGCAGCATTGTCAGGAGTTGTGCAGAGCCACAGGGTCCCCTGCACCTCCTTTTCTCCAGGCTGAGCCCCTTCCCAGCTCCTCATCCCTTCCTGGGGCTCCATTCCCTTCCCAGCTCTGTTCCCCTCCTGGGGCTCCATTCCCTTCCCAGCTCCTCATCCCCTCCTGGGGCTCCATTCCCTTCCCAGCTCCTCATCCCCTCCTGGGGCTCCATTCCCTTCCCAGCTCCCTCATCCCCTCCTGGGGCTCCATTCCCTTCCCAGCTCCTCATCCCCTCCTGGGGCTCCATTCCCTTCCCAGCTCTGTTCCCCTCCTGGGGCTCCATTCCCTTCCCAGTTCCCCCAACCCCTCCTGGGGCTCCATTCCCTTCCCAGCTCCTCATCCCCTCCTGGGGCTCCATTCCCTTCCCAGCTCCCTCATCCCCTCCTGGGGCTCCATTCCCTTCCCAGCTCCTCATCCCCTCCTGGGGCTCCATTCCCTTCCCAACTCCCTCATCCCTCCTGGGGCTCCATTCCCTTCCCAGCTCCTCATCCCCTCCTGGGGCTCCGTTCCCTTCCCAGCTCCTCATCCCCTCCTGGGGCTCCATTCCCTTCCCAGCTCCCTCATCCCTCCTGGGGCTCCATTCCCTTCCCAGCTCCTCATCCCCTCCTGGGGCTCCATTCCCTTCCCAGCTCTGTTCCCCTCCTGGGGCTCCATTCCCTTCCCAGCTCTGTTCCCCTCCTGGGGCTCCATTCCCTTCCCAGCTCCTCATCCCCTCCTGGTGCTCCATTCCCAGCTCCTCATCCCCTCCTGGGGCTCCATTCCCTTCCCAGCTCTGTTCCCCTCCCGGGGCTCCATTCCCTTCCCAGCTCCATTCCCTGGCCGCATTCCAGCCCCTCAGGCCCTGCCTGAGCTGCGGGGCCGGAGCTGGGCACAGCCCTGGAGATGGAAGCTCAGCAGTGCCAGCACAGGGCACAGCCACTGCCCCGTGCCTGGGACAGCCCAGGGGTCCTGAGCCCCCCTGGCCACCTGGAATCCTGTCCAGAGCCGCTGCTGAGCTCTCCTGGCAGTGTTCCCTGCCTGCTCCAGCTGTGTTTCCCAGGGGATGCTGCACACCAGTGCCAGCGGGAGGGTCTCCTTCCCCCGTCTCTGCCCCATCCCCGAGGTTTTGGCACGGCCACGCAGCTCCCGCTGGAGCTCACAGCACTGCTCACCCCAGCAGGGCAGTCACAGCGGGTGTGACATCCCTGGGAACGACAGCCGGGCCTGGGAAGGGACCCCGTTAGCAGAACCAGTGGCCTGTGAGGAAGGAGACACAGAGGGTGACAAGTGGGAAGAGTTTGGAGAGGTGCTGGCTAGTGCTGGGCAATCACAGAGAGCTTTCCCGCTGGCAGGTGCGCAGAAGTGGGATGGTTGGGTCATTTTGGGCACGCCACGGCACAGAAACAGCTGCTCTGAGGGGCACGAGTGCCTGGGGGTCCCATGTGGGTCTCACAGGGGTCTGGGCTTGTGCTGGGCCCGGGGACGGCTGTGTGGTGGTTTACATCCTTCCCCCTGTCAGCGTGTAACACACCATGTCCACTACACCCAGACCTGAGCCCTGGCCCTGCTGTCGGGACTGTCCCCAGCACAGTGCCTGGTGGGACACCCCTGGGCCAGGGCAAAAGGAAAACACCTTCTGAGACAGGAGGGGAAAAGCCTCTTCCTCCCTGCAGCCACCAGGTCACCTGAGCTCAGGAACGCCCTGGATTTCATTTCCCAGGGGAATGCAGATGGGCAGTTTCCCTGGATGCAGCAGGCACGGACGTGGCTCTGCTCCCAACAGAACACCCAGTTCCCAACCCTGAGCCGCACTTCCAGGACCCCCTGCCCCGGGGATGAGCCCCCAGCCCGTGAGCCAGGGGCAGGGTCCTGGCCCAGCAGAGCTGGCACAGCCGGCTGCGCTGTGGGGCACTGTCCTGCCCTGCGGGGCGGCTCCTGCCCTCCGAGCCGTGCCCACCGTGTGTCTGCACTGCAGACACATCCCCGCCCCACATCCCTGCCCCTCCAGAGCCTCAGAGGGGCGGCAGCAGCCAGGGATCCCACCCAGTGACTGTCACACATAAACAGCGAGCAGGCACAGCTGCTCTCGCGTTTATTTCGTTGTTATATTTCCATTTATTTCCCGTTTATTTCACGCTGTAGGTGAGCTGGATGCAGGGCAGTGCACATGGGTGGGCCGGCGAGCCGCAGCGTGTGCGGGATGAACGGGGGCTCTGCTCACGCAGCACAGGGAATGCTCTGCCCCACGGCCGCGGGGGCCGTGCCGTGCCGTGCCGTGCTGAGCCGTGCCGTGCCGTGCCGTGCCGAGCCGTGCCGTGCGGCCAGCCCCGCGGGACAGCAGCTGCAGCTCATCCCGCCGGGCCCGAGGGGTCATATACTGTCCAGCTTCTTCAGGATGAAGGGAGCTGAGGGAGGAAACGGCGCGGAGTCGAGCCCGGGCCGCGGCCGGGACAGCGCCCCGCGGGCACCGAGCCCCGGCGGCTGCGGCTGCGGCACGGCGGCTCCGGGAGCGGGGCCGGGGCACCCCGTAACGGGACCGGTTCGGCCCGGGAGCGGGGCAGGGATATCCCCGTAAAAGGGATCGGCGGGTCCCGGGAGCCCGGGCCTGGCACATGCCGGGAACACACCCGGCAGATCCCGGGAGCGCGGGGTCGGGATATCCCCGCAGCAGGCCCGGCACGTCCCGGGAGCCCGGGCCCGCAGATCCCAGGAGCGCGGGGCCGGGACATGCTGGAAGCCCCGGGCCGGGACATCCCCGTCACGGGCCCGGCACGTGCCGGGGCCGGGACACCGGGTCACTCACTGATCCGCAGCAGGGCCACGTAGATGAGGAAGTTGCGGACGGAGGCGAGCACGTCGCGGCGCATCTTGCGGCGGAGCTCCTCCGGGTCCATCTTGGGCCCCAGCCCCTCGATGCGGAACATCCCGGAGCAGAGCGCGGAGCTGGGAGCGCGGAGCTGGGAGCGCGGAGCTCAGAGCGCGGAGCTCGGAGCGCGGAGCGCGGAGCTCGGAGCGCGGAGCTCGGAGCGCGGAGCTGGGAGCTCGGCCCGACCCCGACCCGGCCCCGGCGGCGCTGCGGCCACGCGCGGCGGCAGCACCGGAGCGGAGGCGGGACTGAGAAGCGTCACTTCCGATCGGGCGTGACGGGAGAGGGACACGGGGACACGGGGAGAGAGGGGCGGGGGGCAGAGGGAGGAGGGACAGACGGACAGAGCGGAGAGAGGGACAGGGAGCGGCACAGGGAGAGCGAACAGAGAAAGATTCCTTAAAATCAGAGAGGTTTGGGCACGCTGCAAAAGGCCTCAGAGACAGCAGGATGGCGATGAGAGCTCAGCAGTAGATCTAAGATTTGTCAGCAGAAAAATTGTACAAGTAGAAAGAAAGGACAAATAGAACAATGGTCTGTGTGTTAATGCTTGGGTAGAATAACTCCCCAAGGTGCAGAAAAGTATATCTTGTGAGATATTAGGAACTTTTAAGCTTAATAGTGGAGCTCTGTGCGTTGTATCTTGAGGCTTACAAACAGGTATTGTATTGGAAATAAGCGAGCATTGTTTTAACCAAAGGCACTGTATTTATAGCGATTGGATAGAACTAGTGTCAGTGTGCTTTTGCTGTGTGTGACTGGTCAAAAAGCTTTTAAAGTAAGCTGTAACATTAAGTTCTTGGTCTGCTGCTGGGATGTGAGCTGCTGGCACCTTCCCATTGTCACAGCCATGGAATGAGAGTGATGCTAAAAAATGAACAGCTGGAGACACGTTCCTCAGCAGTCCTGTCCCGTTCCTGGTTTGTACATAGCCCCCGGCCAGTGATAAGGAACAGGGACAGGGACAAGGAGAAGGGACAGGGACAGGGGGAAGGGACAGGGACAGGGAGAAGGGACAGGGACAATCACAGCCCCGTCCCCCGCGTGTCAGAGCCCCCCGCGGGCTCGGCCGGCCCCGCACCGCGGGCAGAGGGTGTCAGCTCCTCCAGAGCCCCCTGCCCCGGGAGCTTCGGGCGCTCCGGGCTCGGGACAGGAGATCCAGCCGGCGGAGCTCAGGCGTCCCGTGGGCTCTGCTCAGCCCTCAGGTGTGGGGGTCACTTGGCAAGACCCCGAGGACAATTACAAGACAATAAAGAACAAAGAATTCCGGATGTCCGGATGCTCCTGGGCACTTAAGCCCCGACAAGCATGTTTTGTGAACAAAGGAATCACCCTTAAAAACCATACACTGTTGCATATTCATACATACTTCTTGCTTATGCATACATTCTATTTAAAATACGACACTCTCTCTGGAGTATGCCAACTCCTTCTTTCAATCCCCACGGTGTCTTCGAGCCTGAGCAAGGCCTGAAGAAACGAGCTTCTTCTGACAAGAAAACTGTAAATTTCTCTTCTCTGGAAGATTTAGGGATTCTGTGACTGTTATCTCGAAGTGAGTCTCTCATTTCTTTAAAAAAAAACCCACATACAGAACTACATTTACCATACTATTAAAATGTTAATACAGCACTTCAATATAACACAATACATATAGTAGTCCATGTAATATTTGTGAAAAGCCAATCATAAAATATGCATTTCTCACACCATTGCTGTGGGTAATCTTCCTGGAAATCTGTGGGATCTGGGTGGAAACCCCACGAGCCAGGAGCGCAGGTTGCAGGTGCAGGGGCTGGGCTGATGCTGGGTGGGATGGGGCATGGCTGGGCAGAGCTGCCTGGGGAGCTGGCTGAGAAAAATGCACCTTTTATGATTGGCTTTTCGCAAATGTTACAATGAATATGATATGTGTAATGTTAGAAAGTTATGCTGTATTAATTCTCTTAAGTACTGTGTTAAATATAGTTTCAGGTTCCAGCATAATGTTAAAATAGAAACTCTGCTATGTGAAACTCTGCTAATTTCTTCAGGCCTTGCTCAGACTCAAAGACACTGTGGGGATTAAAAGAAGCAGTTGACATACAACAGACAGAGTTCTTGTTTTAAATAAAATATATACACAACCATGAAGGATATATGAATATGCAACAGGCTTTTGGTTTTAAAGTTATTCCTTTGTTCACAAAGTATACTTTTCATAACTTAGTGTCCGAGAGCATCCAGACGTCCGTAATTCTTTGCTTTTTATTGTCTTGTAATTGTCCTAACTCTAAATTTTATTACTATTATTACTATATATTATTTATATATGTTTTATATATTTAAATTATTACATATTATATATTAATATATAAATATATATTAATATATATTAATATATAAAATAGATAATATATATTATATGTTATATATATTATATATTATATATATAAATATGTATTATATATATTTTATATACTATATTTTATATTTATATATAATAGTAGTAGTAGTAGTAGTAGTAGTAGTAGTATCATTATCATTATCATTATCATTATCATTATCATTATCATTATCATTTTATTATTATTAAAATTTGAAAATTTTAAAAACCAAGTGATTGGCATTTTTCACACTGGCCAAGCCCAGACTCTCAGCTGAAACTCAGGCTTCTCTCCCCATTGCTCCCACGAAGTTCTGGAGCTCTGGTAACACACTGCTGGTGCGGAGGGCTGGAGAGAAACAGCCCACAGAAGTTAAAACTGCCCTGATAATTCCTTTTCAGACCTCAGTCGGGTTTCTAGGAGCAAGGAGCTCCCCATGGTGGACTGATTGATAAAAACCTTCTGTGGAGCGGCGCTTCAGGCGCTGTGCGGTGGTGTTTCTCCTCTCCTGCATGGTGGGGATGGCTGGAAGGACAGGAATTTGGAACAGGCACTGTTAACTCTGCATCCACCAGGAGATGTGGAGGAGTGTGGGAACGTGTCCCTGTTGATGGAGTAAACAAGTTACCCTTTGTCCCCTGAAAAAGGACAAAACCCCAGAAGTTTCTCTTTTTAATTTGGTTAAAAGACACCTCAAAGGACCTTGGGGACTTCACCTCAAACTTAAGGATAGTTAATTGGACAGAAGCCAAAAAGTCCTGCCTAAGCAATTCCCTAGGAGAGAAGAGAACAAAAGAAGGAATCGCTTTTGTGAAGTGTTTTAGCAGGAGCAAGAACCTCTTGCCCTGACTTGGCTTTTCTCTGTAAAGAGCTTTTTGATTTTGCCTTTTATTAAAACTTTTGGTTTCCACCCCTGTCACAGGAGCCATCCTGCTACTTTTTGCCACCTGAGGTGCTGAGCTGTCAGGGGTAGGATGTTTGTCTATGAGAGCCTACAGGACCAGGCTGGAATAGATAAAACAGAGGAGCACCAGGGACCTCCACTCCGCAGACAGGACCCGAGGTGTGTCAGAGAACAGAACAGAGGCTTTGCAGGGCAGCGGAGCACGGAGAGGCGAGGCAGGTGATGCTGGAGCCTCAGTGCTGTTGCCACAGCTGCCGAGGGATCCCTCCTGGCAGAGCCTGACGGCAGCACGGCTCTGTGCCCCCCCAGAGCTGGCTCTGTGTGCCCGCCGGGGCTCAGCTCGTCCCCGGCATCTCCGGGGGCTCCGTGGCCCCGCTGCTCCGGGGCTGCGCTCCGGGCCCGTCTCACCAGGGCACGGCAGCTCCTGCCAGCCCGGAGGTGCCTCCCGGGATGGTGTCGGGCACAGGACAGTCCCTGCTGGGCACCTGGCCTACTTTAGGGCAAATCTGGGAGAAAAACCTCTGGAAGGAGCCCCCAGCAAACCAACCCCCATGGCCCCTTCCCCACCCACCCCCCATCCACCTGGTTCGGGAAGAATTTTCTCAGAGAGAAGTGGAAAATAACCTGTTTATTTAACAAACAAAACCCTCCCGAGCTCCAAAAAAGAAAATGAACAACACCAGATGACAACAGAACTCTTTCACCACTCTGAAGAGATGACAAATCCAGAAAGTCTCTCCTGGGAGTGGTCGCCTGGGGATTGCTCTGGGCACTGGGGATCTCTGCTGCAGATCACAGAGCGCAGCCTCTGGGTGCCCCTCGGTGTTTCCCAGGTCCTGTCTGGAGCAGGCTGGAGTGATATTCCGGAAAGGGAAAGGTAAAAAATTGGACTTTTCAGCTAAACTAACTAACAAGCAAAAACAAAGGCAAAAGCAGAAGCAGGAGCAAGAGCAAGCAAAGCAAAAGCAAGGCAGCACTAACTTCTTCTAGACAGCAGACCATGGGTTCTGAAAGCACAGAACATAACATCAAACATGAACAGAACACAGGACTGGGGATACAAACACCATAACGTCACTCCAGGACAGCACAGCTCGGTCCCTGGCCTGGCAGAGGAGAAGGAGCGGCAGGACAGGGCTCTGCCCACATGCCCAGACACTGGGGCTCAGCACCAGCCGTGTGTGACACGGCAGAGCACGGGCTGGGGCACGGGGAGGGGGCTCTGTACCCTCAGAGCTCACTGTCCCACCGGGCAGTCCCTGCTGCCTGTCCGGCCACGGTCAGTGCGTGACCCGCTGCCTCCAGCAGGGACGGCCGGAGAGCCCCGGGTCACACAGTGACACTGCCTGGGCACCCTGTGTGTGTCCTGGGGACATTCTCAGCTCAGTCAGAGGGAAAACAAAGGTTTCTAACCAGGCAGAAGCCTGGGAAACAGCTGAGAAAGAATGTAAATAATTCTTTATCTCTCTTGTTATTCACATAGTTTATAGATAAGTTCTGCCATTGTGTGTCATTCACTGCACACCAATGGTTTGAAATGTTTTTACTTCGGGATCAATGGAATTGTCTGGATGATGCTCTCTATAAAAGAGCGATGTATTTGAAATAAATCAGAGTTTTACTCTCTCGCCTTCTGAACCGGAGTTCTTTTGCACCGTCCTGCCTCAACAGCGTCAGTGTCCCAAAGCCTCCCTGTCCCTCCCCTCCTCAGGTGGGCAGGAGAGAGGAGACACAACACCAGGCTGTGGGCTGAGATAAGGTCAGGCAGGGATTGCTCAGCAAGTACTGCCGTGGGCAAAACAGATCTTCAGCACCACAGCCTCCCCTGGGCACGCCTGTGCTGCGGCGTGGGGTCCTCCAGCACGGCAGGAGGGTCTGTGCCCTCCCGAGGAGCTGCACGGCTGCTGCAAATCTCACTGCAGCACCCGGAGTCCTCCCCTGCTCCTGCTGCAAATCTCACTGCAGCACCCGGAGTCCTCCCCTGCT